TGGTATCATGTGCTCAACTCATTGTTAATTGTGACCATTTAAATGAATGTGAATGATTTTTGTTACACTGTAAATAAAAAAGTGGTGTTACAGCCAGTATACAGATCCAGATGTGGTTTAATATGAATACCCTGCATAGATGATGCAACATTGTTCCTAAGCAAGAACAACAAAAACACAACTTGTAGCAGGTCCAGGATTTAGTGAGGGTGAATTGGATTTTTTACTGCTGCAAGTAATTTCAGTAACAGCATGGCAGGAGAAACATCAATGGGCTTCACACATTCTACCCATGTGGGGAATGGAACCTGGGCCTTCCGTGTGACAAGCGACCACTTTAACCACCCTACTGCCCTATAGTGTGAGGAACTTAGAGAGGATCCTGGGGATCTGACTAAGTGAGTGAATGTTGTTTAATGCCACAGCCCGTGATATTCCACCTACTCCGGTATATCACAGTTGAGTTATCTCGAACAAAAGTAAATACATTTCTTTTTTGTTTAGCGTAAGGATCAAGCAGTTGATCACCTACATAAAGGCCAAGCCATACCCAAATCACCCCCTCAAAGCACCACTACACACTCAAGTTTAGATGTCAGTTGCTTGCTTCTATCCACAAACATGAGTTTGTGTTTTTGCTATTTAACATCACACTCAGCAATATTCAACCATATGATGCCTGTTAGTCAGTCTGGACCAGGCAAATCAATGATTAATATTATGACCAACAATCCACACCATCAGGGTACAATGACACACTATCTATCAACCAAGGCACCAGGCCTGACCACCTGATACATTAAGTCACCAGTATTGATTGACCAGCATAGGTTGCTAGGTACCTGCTCTAACCAGGAATCCCTACAGGGTGACACAAACATAGAGTACTTAGGACAAATTTTAGTAACATAAACTGGATCTATCCACAAACCGATGACCAAACAATGAACTTGGTAATCAGGTGAAGTACTGGTATCAAATATATTAAATGAAACCGTACTCTCTAAATTCATATTTTGTCCTTAATACCCTCTGCAAAAATCTAAGGTTTGTCATACAAACTTAATCGCATGGACATTATCTAACTAAGACCCAGCAGTTCAATAATCCTATAAGTCAATATCGCTTCTCTGGTGGGGCTTTAATAGGAGCTAGTTAATTTCACGCCATCAGTGCCTGCTTCTCATGCATTACTTATTGCAGACATGACAATAAGTACCTGCCCTAGAGCAATCAGCTTAGTGCTTGTAAACAAAATAAACAACAACCTTTCATGATTATTAATGTACATGGATCCGGATCCACTTGCTTTCAGCATGTTCAGTTTTGTTGTAGGGTAATCAAGAATGTAATCCACATATTGTTTATCACCCAGGAATATATGCACATGTTTATTCATTGCTTATTATCTTCAGTCATGGAGAGTTCAATATGACATGCATCAAAAGAGACTATCCCATCTCATTTTCATAAATACTTAGAGACACCGGTGACATTTCTCCATTTATCAATGCCTTATCTGGTTCACAAAAAGTGCCCATGGCAGGTAATTTGGGAATAAACATTTTTTGGATGGAATGTCCATATTTCCTAAATTCACAGGTATTATTGCTGGCAAATAAATGTAATAACATTCAAACTTTACATCAAAATTGCTTCTTGGTAATATCTCTGAAGTTGATGTCTGAACAGGAATTTGGAATGATGAATTCTAATTTGAGAAATGTTAAAGTGTCACCTACATTTGCTAAACATTGGCCTCCTGATATATTGACGCATCAGGTTGTGTCTAGGAAAATATACTTCAGGCTCATGCTGTTAATGACAAGCAAGTGACACGAGATAATGACAGGTTAACAGCTGACTGACACAGGTCGATCAAATCACTTGACAACAAGTGTATCACATTTCACACCATGTCACTGAGCTCAAGCCTACACCAGCATGTCAAGTTCTATACCTTTGATGGATGGACAAAGTCCCACTGTCTTAAACATCATTCAAAAGTGTTATCTTTCAAAATATTTTTCCAAACAGATCATACACTTTCAAAATATTTTTTTTCAAAAAAAAGCCTTCAGATCTATTTGTTCAAACCTTCAGGGTGTGTGTAGCTAATAGTCAGTGAGATACGTGACTCAGAGAGGTTAATAATGGCAGTCTAGCTTGAAATGTTGAAGACAAGACAGTCAAGACAGGTCCCCAGGACCTAATGTTTGAGTCACGGTGGGGATTCTGGGCAAGACAGGTCCCCAGGACCTAATGTTTGAGTCACGGTGGGGATTCTGGGCAAGACAGGTCTCCAGGACCTAATGTTTGAGTCACGGTGGGGATTCTGGGCAAGACAGGTCTCCAGGACCTAATGTTTGAGTCACGGTGGTGATTCTGGGCAAGACAGGTCCCCAGGACCTAATGTTTGAGTCACGGTGGTGATTCTGGGCAAGACAGGTCCCCAGGACCTAATGTTTGAGTCACGGTGGGGATTCTGGGCAAGACAGGTCCCCAGGACCTAATGTTTGAGTCACGGTGGTGATTCTGGGCAAGACAGGTCTCCAGGACCTAATGTTTGAGTCACGGTGGTGATTCTGGGCAAGACAGGTCCCCAGGACCTAATGTTTGAGTCACGGTGGGGATTCTGGGCAAGACAGGTCCCCAGGACCTAATGTTTGAGTCACGGTGGTGATTCTGGGCAAGACAGGTCCCCAGGACCTAATGTTTGAGTCACGGTGGTGATTCTGGGCAAGACAGGTCCCCAGGACCTAATGTTTGAGTCACGGTGGTGATTCTGGGCAAGACAGGTCTCCAGGACCTAATGTTTGAGTCACGGTGGTGATTCTGGGCAAGACAGGTCCCCAGGACCTAATGTTTGAGTCACGGTGGGGATTCTGGGCAAGACAGGTCCCCAGGACCTAATGTTTGAGTCACGGTGGGGATTCTGGGCAAGACAGGTCCCCAGGACCTATAATGTTTGAGTCACGGTGGGATTATGGTCAGGATAGATCCTTATTACCCCATAGCAAAATAGCAAAAGTATTAGCAAAAACCTTTCAACATTGAAGACTGGGTTAACTTGACACGAAATACCATGTACTATAAGCGTACAAAGAGAATGGATGCAAACATTGTGAGTCCTGGGCATGCAAAGACATTGGGCTGTTTAAATCATTAACACTAAAATGGTAGATTGTAGACAATACGGCACATATGACTGACAATTCTATTCTGGTATGAAATACACCCAGAGTTCAAAGTGGCAGTGGATGATTTTCTTCAATCTAATATTGAAATCTCCATTGATAAAATGCAAACTGAACATGTGCAATAATATGACATGCCATACAACTGAAATTGCCGAGTCATAAGCCCTCATAACCGTTCTAATTTTGCAAGTGACAGCGATGAGTGTAGGACCGTAGACCGTAGACGTCAGACCTTCTGTGTTTATGTGTTCCACATCACTGACTCACTGTAGGCATATAGTCCAGCTGGGTTCAGTCAAGCAAAACGCCACCACTCTGCCTTTACATCAACAAACATTGTGCTCGCCCAGGGTCAGGTCTGAATATATCATTTTAGAATAATCATGACGATATATGAATTCAATTTTTTTACTTCAGGCATATACTGTAAAGCTGTTCAAATCCCTAAACCCTTCTCATTCATACACATTAAAGTATTTGAATTTTTGCGGGGGTGAAATTCTCATAAAATCAAAAGGGTGATGTAACTGTTTTGTTAAAATCATAGTAATCCAACAATATTAACTAGACTTTGAATAATTTGAAAGAGAATATTCCTTGTCATATCAGTGTCTCAAAATTCCATAAACAATTTAAATAACCGAAAGGGAAATTAAAGTATGGTTAACAGTAAATCCTTGGACTATATTCACCTTGTTTTCACCAACAATACAGGCAACAGGCAAAACAAGCCAATAAATCATCACAGAATATGTAATTACTTGGCACTTCCACTCCCAGACTGCTCCCTGAACCAAACTGTCAGGCAATCAGTATGATCCTTTGAAGAAAGCAATAATATATCAGCCTGTCAAAGTGCAGGGGGAAGTGGGGAGGTGTCTGCTGCTCTGTTGTCATTACGTAACATTTCTATTCCATTGTTCTTAATGATTCTGATCTGCCTCAGGTGCTGTAAGCCTCTGCTGTAACTGTTACAGGTCTGGGTTATAGCTGTGTTGTGATTGCCATGGGCCTGTGAAGTGCTAAGGATTTGTAACAATTCTCATGTGATAATAATGTTTATCTCTGATGTAATTTACATGTATAGATGGCTTGGTCTGGGCTGATGTGACAGGTGGGGATGAAGCTATCATAATTAATTATCAAGGCTCAACGAAGGCATCTTTTGTTAAAGGAAATCTATGCTGCATACTTGTTTGCCCATTTCCAGCCAAGGTCTCAACAGAGTGCTATGTGTGAAACTACAAACACACCTTTGTGTATACATGCTAAATAGTATACTCCTTAAATTCTAGACTGATAAACATATAATAAAAAAGGGATTTTAAATAACTGAATCAACTTGTTTGGACTGCCAATTGGACACAGTCTTGTTCCTTAAAAATTAATTTCAAATGACTAGTAAGTTTGCTTTTTTCAAATTTATGTGTTTGATACAAAATATATGTAGGAGGCGCCAAGAATGAACTTCACATCTTAACATGTGACTCAAACACAGAACTTGTCCACAAGAAACAAACGCACCAACCACTGAGCTAACCACAACCCTAACAGTAAATTGCTGTCGGACATCAAGCATGATATACTAGCAAAGCTTAGTAAAGAGACAAAAACTATAGGTTGCAGACATCTTGTAAGTTCAAGCTTCACCATTAGATTCACTATGACTGTAAACTCTGAAGTAGGTATAGAATATACATGTTGTCAGACAGGTTCGTCTAAAGTTTACAGGGCCTCAGAAATACTGTCACGTTATTGAAATGAATACTGGCTTTTCTTGCTGGTCGACACTGGCAGACTGCCCTAACAATATTCGAACAAACATTTCATGTCTATACCTTGTGTACTAGTTATTCAACTGTTCCATGGATTAATGACAAAGCTGAAGACATGGATCTCCATTTTACACAAACAGGTAGGGCTGACTTGCTTTTTGCAAGACAAACATTAAATGTCAACAGGGACACCTTAATTAAATGTAAATGCAATAAATCAAGACATGCATTTTCAAACACCCATCATAAAACAGATTTCCTTGATGTTACTTCTGGCAGTTCAGTATGTATTTACAGGTCATTCATTCACCATGAGAACAACGCCCAATATTCCAAACACTGTATTCGACGTAATAAGTGCCCAGGGCGCTCTCAAAATTAGAAATAGGGGGCTCTTATTAGAATATAATTTTGGTGAAAGATCATAAATTTCGTGGTTTATGCTGACAGCCTAAAATGATACAGAAGAAAAGTCTGTGCATATTATACGAGACAGATATATTTTTCCAGAATTTAATTGCCCACAATTAAGGGTGCATATAACACACAAGTGTGTATTATACACAAATAAATAAGTCTTGTGTACATTGATCAATCAGAAGGGTGCTAATTGGGATTGTTCACTAGCCATTTTATTAGCAAATTTCGCCATGTGCGCTTATCAGAGCGGGGCGCTTATTATGTCAAATACAGTAGTTGATGTGAGTGCAGATAATCATAATCATGTCATTAAAAATTATCAAACAACTTTTGATATAATAAACATTGAATTGTTTAATAAGCATTACTTAGAAGTTGACGGTGACAAAGTAGACACAATTTATGGATAACAATTTTACAGTAATATAAGAAGATGTTATCCATAAATTGTGTCTACTTTGAAAATAAACATTGTTTTGAAACTTCAACAAGCGACCTCTATTCGAATAAGTTCTTCCTCTGTCCATCTAAATCTGGTAAAAACAAAATGAAATGAGGGTACTGAGCTCACCCATTGGAAACTGGTATGAACCTTTGGTTCTGAATACATCAGCAAACATGTAAAAAAGTGTTCTGCAATAACCCTCACTTTCATTTCGTATACATACAAATGCGTGGGACTAATACTAATTGAGTTCCAGAGCAGCCAGCTTCAGACCATCCCATGTAATTCAAGATGTAACACAATCATCTAAACAAATACCAAGTCAAAAACATCTATGGTACACAGCTTCTAGACAATTATGCCACATGGTTCGTACTGATATTGTGACACAAAAACGTTTTTTTCAAAAGGCCATGATCATACTTTGAAGGTAAAAACATAATACCTACTGGTAAGTGCAATTTCAAACAGGTTAATAAGGAAATTCATACTTTATTTCATTGTCAGTTTAGCTCTTCTAAGTCTTGTTCATCTCAATTATACACCAATCGAATATTCAAGTTCCACACCACTTGTTCAGAATTATTTATCGATCGTGTTGCAGACTTAATATTTGCTACATGACATCATCACTCACGTGAGTGAGTGATCGAGTACGGTTTTATGCCTCTTTTAGCAATATTACAGCAATATCACGGCAGGGGACATCAGAAATGGGCTCCACGCATTGTACCCATGAGGGGAATCAAACCCGGATCTTTGAATTGACGAGCGAATGCTTTAACCACTAGGCTACCCCACCGTCCCTCACTCATTAGAAAAACAATCAGTTGTAATAAATTTACTAAACAGTAGATAACAGTGGTTTCTAAAAAAGCCTTTCATGTAACTTTAGTGAATAACAAGATTATCAAGGAATAATGTAACATACACCTTTTGAGGGCTGGACTGCCAAATTCAAAGCCTTTTCAAGGCCGTTGGACCCTTGTTTTAAAATAAATGCTCATGTAATAAAATGCCAAATAAAACTCAAAGTCTTATTCAATGTTTGAGTGGAAAGTGTACTGTAATGGATGACAATACGCAATTACTCAATAATATATGTGCCAATAACATGATTAATACATGCAAGGGGTTGTTATTATAGGTAGGGGTTATGATATGAATTTTTCCCTTGCACTGTAAGGACTGACATTGTTGGGTATGTTTTTCACTCCAATATTTCAGTTAATAGGTTAAAAAAAACACAATCAGATTTATCATTAATGTACTTACCTATGAACATAATCGCAAGAAAGAGGAAGCTGTTTCCTGCTGCATGCAGTGCTGCAAGTACTATCCCTGTCACCACACAACAAACTCCCAACAGAGACAACACCACCAGAACCCATCGGAATGATGTCAATTTCACAAAACATTTGACACATGGTTCTTTACATGCTCCTTCATCCGAATGTATTGAACTGGAGGATCGTGTGCGATTTCTACGGCCATGACGCGTCGTTCGCGTGCCGGTTTCATGGGTCCTATGTCTCCCTTGATTTCTCGTTCGATGATCTGGCGGCCGATTGCGTCTATCTCCATTCCGTGTTTGGCGATGTTGATTTGGCCGTGACGGCGTCACAGGAGACGCAACATGAGAGTGTAGCAGATCAGGCAGGGTATCTGCCCGTTGAGGGTCGATCCTGGCTGACACTCCAACACTAATGTCCCTGGTTTGAATCTGCCTGTATGTTGGTATCTGAACCTGCCTTGTGCCACTGTTAGGGGACACCGGGAGGGCGGGGTCCTGTGGCAGGGAGGGGTACAGTGGTAGTTGAGGTGCCCCGCTCATGTCTGGTGGGCTGGATTCAAGCTGTGATACCACCCGTCTGTCCTCGCCAACATGGTGGGAGGGACTGTGCCCTGAGCCGCTGAAACCTGCTTCAGGGTTAAACTCACTGGTGGAGTTTTGGCTGGGGGTCAGATCATTAACACTATCTGAGTTGACAGGTTGAAAGTAGGTCTCATTATCAACTATATCTGGGTAATTTGGCAAGGACTGTCTATTCTGAGTGAAATGTAACCATGAAGATACTGTTAGGTTAGACGAAGGGGGTACCTTATGTCCAGATAGATTTCCTGGGCCTACAACTTGAACACCACTTGCCATTGAAACCTGCACCTTCTACTCGATCAGGTCTAGATTTCCTCGGCTATGATCCACGATGATGTCAGGAAACAGGTGGGGGAGGGGACATATGGATTCAGGGGGACAAGACTCCACTGGCTCCACTAGCATGACCCCTTTTGACCTGGCACGTGGCCAACTTCAAGACTGCACTGGGCCACATGCTCTACTGTGAGGAAGTAAACATGGGCACTGAAATAGCCTAGACAGCCTGTAACAAAAGAAATATAGACCTTTGTCAACAAAGCCAATCATGGATTTCAATGGCCTATTCAATGACAACCATGCATCTTTGGAAGTAGCCAGGCTGATCACTGAACCGTGAAATGAACACAATGCTTATTGATGCATACACTAGGGACACTTAATTGACCATACTGCATTCATTAGGTCTGCTGTTACTTATAACAAATTGTTACATAACTGTTGATCCTAGTTGACTGGGGCTTAAGAAACATAATTGGTCCTTAGCAATTTCGCTTGGTCAGTTAAAATCACCTTGAGTTACACTGTGATACGGACACTTAATTATTGTATTAATTTCAGCAACGACCACAATAGGATATTTTAAACGTCAAATCAGCAATGGATCAAAGTTTCTTTTTAATGATAATGTCACGCATCAACAAAGTCGAAGTGAAATAGATAACTGAACACCTGTCATCGTGTTCTATAAACACTAAGGAGACAGTCAGAGTGGTCTCATGTAGATCGACCATTTGACAATGACAGTATCGTGTCAGGATTTGTGGCTATTGACACAGAACATCAAATAAACAAGTATTCTTAACTGCCAGTCTATAAGAAAATATGACAAGGGTACAAGTGAGCTTACCAAAGGTACGTGTATCTCACGATCGCGATCAGCGCGCTTACTCGTTGGTTACCCTTTGTCGCCAGCAGTAGGTTGCCTTCTGTGCAACAACATTGAATAGTGCACTGGATACAAGCACGAAAAGAGCGATACTACTTCCCTAATGGCGTAGTATTTATCGCAACAAGACTTCTGCTGGTCTAGCCGAGGGATTCATTTACATTTCTTTCCCCCATAATCTAAAGAGTTAAAACACACGCTCATTTTTAAGGAAAGATTATAGTTATATATTTGTATTAAATCTAATCATCTTTCCCGTATTTCAATGAATATTATTTTTTATGTATTGACATAAATGGTGTCAGCCATAATCACATGGAACTAGAGAAAATTACATTACCTGGAAATATCTTCATACGATTATTAAGAGTAATAGAGCAGTATGTTAGATGTGTTCATATTGACTGAACAACTAAACAAGTTAATTACCTTAAGAATGAAAGCTATGATCATTTTATTTGAGAATATTTCATTAATTGTGAAATGCAAGAAGAAAAGCTAGGTTTGGGTGTGTCGGGGTGTAAGATATTTTAAACTAACAAAGTAATTTCACTTAACACTAACACGTTAGAGGTGCTCTGAAGGCTATTTTATGTAAGCCATGTCAGATTTGACAGGGCATGCAGAGAGGATTTTGTAGCTCCATCACTACGTTAATAAAACAGAACAGTTTGGACCCACTTCCCATTTTATAGAGGTTATTTTTTGTGTATATATTTTCAAGTATATCCTTTAAATGTGTCATTTTCTTATATGGATTGGATAGTATATGGCTTTTAGATGATCCTTCGAATCTGTCATTTATTTTCATTTGTGGGAATCGAATATAATTGTACACTTATAAGGTTATGAGTTATACTACACAAATAGTATATGTAACTCGAACAAAATGTGTAAGTGATTAATTTTGCAAGAAAGAAGATTAATGAAAAAGTAGCTTTTAGGGGTATAGCATCTCAATCAATGGCCGCTTCCTTGAGGAAAGTGCATTCGGGCCCTATGCACTGAAAACCAGCCCACGGCTGTTCTGACGGTTGTGGAAGACACCGGTAATATTTCATACTGCTGTTCAAATTTGCAAACATTACCACCAGTAACAGTGTCAATTATATTGACAGCGAAATTAATACCAAATAGTTCGAAAAGATGAAAATGTTAAAAACTGCAAAAAAGTTTGTGATATTCGCTACGGATATCTACTGTGACACATTATGCATTCCTTAGATAAAGAACCTTGTTTGCATGTTTAATACACAATACTTTACAATATTTTTTCAATCGATTCGTATCGTAAGAAACGCGCATGTGCTCGAACTGTGCCGGTTGTATTGTACACGAACGCAACATGTTATTTTGAGTTATCTCCCTTGTCAATGGCAGAAAGGTGTGTCAGAAAATAGCATTCTAAGCTTTACTCACAGAGAATATGTACTTGCAACGATCTCAGTTGTCATAACCATGAGCCTGTTATGCCACATTGTTTTTCTTGGAAACTCTTTCTCAGCTTGGACATTTGAAATTATTGAAGATTGCTATTAATGAATTCATCTTTATCATGGGCATAGATATTGGACATTGAACTATACATGATAGAACTTAAATGTATTTGCTTGAGGTGGGACTTTGTGGTATGGACCCCTTGCCAAAGATTTAGACAAATTGGTTACAATTCAGTATATTTGTAACTACAAATATCAGTTGTTCATATGTTATTTCAGCTTGACAGAACACCTATGCAGTGTCTCTAGCTGTTTTTGGACCCTCAAAGACCGGGGTTATAAAAGGTCTCCCACAACCCATGCTTGTCTTAAGAGGCGACTAACAGGATCGGGTGGTCAGGCACGCTGACTTGGTTGATGCATGTCATCGTATCCCAATTGCATATTCGATGCTCATGATGTCAATCACTGGATTGTTTTCTTCAGACTCAATTACTTACCGACCGCCGTCATATAGCTGGAATATTGCTGAGTGCAGCGATAATCAACAAACAAACAGAACAAGAAGTAGTCTCTAATGGAGTAGGTCTGTGTATGTTGTCTCAGCTGTGTAAGGTGCTGCATCTAGCTGTGTCCCTTCTAGGGCTTGGACGAGTCCAAATGTACTATCCAGGTACTCCCTATTACCTGAGTCTACCAGGGTACCCGCTGTAGGTCTCAAGAGTTTGGGACAAAGTGTCTGCTTGGGTAATGTTTTAATGGACCACTGGCAAAAAGTATTAGGATACACATATAGAACGGTCTGGTTATGCATACACTGAAGTTGACTGAAGCTTTGTCATAATTCAAACATATAAATGTCAGAAGGAATGCATGCATACTCAATAGTCAGAAAGAAATGTGGAAATTAGTGACATGTAGTTTTACCATGTTATAATGAAGTTTGTCAAAGCGGGACATTTGCGGTAAAAACTACCGCACTCTGAGTGGGCGGAGCATGTACGAGTGATCTGACAGGTCAATATGACGGGTGACGCGACATGACATGTAAACACCTTCGATTTGATTTTAATATGATAAAACTACAGAAAATTAAGGTTATTAATGAAGTTGATACGAAGTTTGACAGTCTTCGGTGATCTTGTTTATGTACGGTTATCAAAAAGGTTCTCGACACTCAGTTGCGTTTACGGTATCAGTCACTGTTCGAAACTGAAGCACTGCCACCTTGCAGGCTATTTATAGTAAGGTTGGGGGTTTAAAGCGGCAGGAAACCAAGCTCGGTGTATATGAAATAAGTCACTCAAGTAGAAGCCTATTAATTAATTTTGAAATGAAGTTCCACAAGTAATATCTTTTTAATAATATCTGAAGGACTATCAATGAATAAAATATAGGAAATAGCATTTATCCCACCCAACAAGCATGTCTGTATGCATCATCAGGGTTTCCTCTAGACCTGCTTAGAGGCCAATATTGGGCCCCAAATCAGTTAATGACAGGAATTTAGGAAAATATAAACTTGAAGAAAATCCCAATTTTGAGCAAAATGTTGATTTTTCCCCAATTATCTGCCATGGGCGCGTAGTTTGGAATCCAAGATAAATCCCTGATCATTGCCTACAGGAGTACCACCAACAAGATGAGTGGCGAGCTGCTTCACAGTGTTGTGGAGATCCTAGACTCCGCACACCAGCACCGCTACCAGTTGTCAGAGCTGCTTGCCAGCCTTGGAGAGCTCAAACATCAGGTTAGTAGTATATGTACCTGTTCCCCACTCTCAGAACATGTCATCAGCGAGGTTACCTACAAATTTGTTTCCTATTTCCGCCCTTCTAAAAATAGGGTAGTTTTAGGGGAGATTACCCACTTATTTTTCAGGCTAATTCTTTGGAAATTTCTACAGCTGAGACTGGATACTTAATTTATTAAATTAATCCAATAGCTTTCTTCAGTATTGTTTTTATTGATGATCTCTGTAATATAATGGCCAGGTTTAGAACTTATTTCCTTTGTCTGATTAACTTTCTTGTTGCTATATTATTGCTATATATAGTTGCTAGGGACTCAACTTCATTACACTGGCCTAAGTAATAACTCACAAGATGTTTTGGTGCAACAGAGTATTTTAGGGGTGCTTCAAGGGCTCATTTTTCAATTTTTAGCAAAGTTTACAGTTACCAGTCACAAATTTCTATGTTTTTACCTGGAACAAATGTCTTCATATATGAACTGTTTGAGGGGCATCAGAACCTATGATCAGGGGTTCAAATCCCAGATTTGCCCTGATTAATTTTTTCGGTTTGTCAGCACCAACCCATCCTCATGTCACCAAAGTGGTAAACAATCTAAGATCTGCATCACTTCAGGCTTTCCAACCACACAAAGCTGACAGCCTAGATGCAACTGAAATACTGATCAGTGTGACATTAAGCCCAGCCCGCTCATTCTCACTAAAGAACTGTTTGATTTGCCACTAAACACACTCAAACCATATTTCATGAAAGTATTTTCTTGATTCGTTTCAAGGTTCAACAAAGTGCAGATAATTCCAGGAATAAATTAAAAGCTCATTTTGATGAGCTGAAGACAGTGTTGAATGAAGCCTTGGAAGCCCGGCTGTCAACTCTGACACAGGAGATAGACAGTATTGAGGAGACTGCGATGACTCCACTAGGACAGTGTGAGGAGATGATCCAGCAGGGTATTGACAATGCAGCAAGTGTCATGGAGGAAGGTAGGGTCATACAGCTATCCATAGTTGGTTATTAATAGTAAGTGACCAGTATGCATTTAACAATGTAACAATAGCTTATGTGCTTTGTGAATTTCACCAACTTTAATGTGCATTGTAAATTACACCCAAGTGTACTTGAATTGCAAATTTAACTAATGTTTATTTGCATTGTGAATTTCACCCAAGCTTATGTGTATTGTGAATTTCACCCAAGCTTATGTGTATTGTGAATTTCACCCAAGCTTATGTGTATTGTGAATTTCACCCGTGCTTATGTGTATTGTGAATTTCACCAGAGTTTATGTTCACCCAAGCTTATGTGTATTGTGAATTTCGCCCATGCTTATCATGCTTATGTGTATGTGAATTTCACCAGTTTATGTTCCCCCAAGCTTATGTGTATTGTGAATTTCACCCGTGCTTATGTGTATTGTAAATTTCACCATAGTTTATGTTCATCCAAGCTTATGCATATTGTGAATTTCACCCAAGCTTATGTGTATTGTGAATTTCACCCAAGCTTATTCGTATTGTGAATTTCACCAAAGCCTATGTGTAGTGTGAATTTCACCCAAGCTTATGTATATTGTGAATTTATGTGCATTCCAATGTTTTGTGCTTCAAGACTCTAGGATAGAATTGATGCCCCGTTCTCATGCTCAACAGCTGACTAAAATGTTGATTGGGTGGATACAACATGTAACCTGGTTGGAAAGGTTGTTCCTCCAGCTGTTACTGTGTCAACCACTGATGTGTTTACTTTCATCATATGCAAAATATGAATGACTCAATGGTTTTAGATATGTCTGTACAGAAATTCAGTTATAGGATGATTGTAATGAGATACAATCATGTGATTCTTGTCTACATGCAGGTTCACTTCTCCTGAAAAATGACCCTGAGAGTAACTTAGCGGGCATTATCAAGTTCAAGGACAACCCACACACAAAAGGACTTTCCAGGTACTTCTTCTTTTACTAAGATTTTTTGTTTTTTTGTTGTTTAACGCCACACTCACCAATATTACAGCTATGACGACGGTCTGTAAATAAACGAGTCTGGACCAAACAGTCCAGTGATTGACATCATGAATATCATCCACGCAGATCGGATATGATGACATGCATCAGCCAAATCAGTGAGCCTGACCACCCAATCCTATTAGTAGTCTCTTATGACAAGCATGGGTTGCTGAAGACCTATTCTAACCCAGATCTTTAAGGGTCCATTTGCTAAGTACAAACCATGTGGGATTCTGGAACAACCCCATGTGCCACTTTAGTCATAAGAGGCAACTGACAAGAGCAATAAACCAAAGCTGTACCTTTCTTAAGCTTTGCCTTTGTTTCAGCCTGCCGGAAATTCCATGTCGATCAGCAGTCCCTGATATTACAGTAGAACTGAGGGGGCCTTTGAAGGAAAAGATATGTAATATGGTTCGGAGGGAGGGCAAAGTAGCAGCATCAGCGCCAGTTCAGATCACAGATTTGATAGAACGGCCAGGAGGACTGATTGTACATTGGAGTGAGGTGAGTGTGATGTGTTCCGTTAATGCACTTTTTTGAAAAGGAAAAATGTGATTATAGATGTTAGTGATTGATTAATGAGATGTTCATTGGGAGTATAATGTACAGCCAACATATCAGAACACAATCATATCAAAGCCCACAGTAAACACCTATCCTCTTAACATATATGACCATTGTCTAGTGGATAGAGCATCTGCCGAGAGAACAGAAGGTGGGTGGTTTGATCCCCGGTCGCCTCACTGAAAATTATGGTGAAAGATGGCTCTCTGCATTTAGGGGTTAAAACAAGGACTGGCATCTCAGAGTCAGTCTGGATGGGGTATCCATGTTAAACTGTGGCATGGTATCTCAGTAAGCTAGCACTATAAAACTGGCATTAGTCCGACTATTCCAAGCAGAAATAATCTTGAAGACGATTTTATACCCCATTTCATATGAGCTCTACTTATCATGGACATGAATCTTAACACTAAGACCACTTTGTGGAACAAAATCAATTTTTTTTAAATCATGATCTTATTATCTGCTGTACTTTTGTTGCTTAAATTGGAAGTAGCTTCTATTCTACCTTTTCTGACTCATACTAGTTGCTTATATCATCTCATTCCAAAAAATGTAGTGGAAACTCCTGCTCTGTGTTGCCAAGAACAGAGACAAACATCTCACCTGAACACACCCCTCAGCCGCAGTAGCCTCACCGGAGGCAAGTGACCAAGCCTATACACCTGTCACTCTCTCAGTTTCGTGTCAACTGGGCTAAATGTCTGTGTTCACATAATCTCATTGTGATCCACACCCTATCTGTTCAACACGCGTCCCTCAGCTATGCACTAGAGAGATTCATAGAGATTCTGCACATCCCTGGGGGAAGAAGACTAGCAGCCTACTTGTATGTAGTACAGAGGAAAAGGTTGGACCATTGATTATGCCCAGTCATCTTTCTCAGTGTGTAGTATTATCATACCTAAAAAGAAGAAAAGTATGGTAACAATTTCTTCTTCAGATGACGATAAATCCTTTGCGGTCATAGATGAAAATCCTACCTCGCAGACAACAGGGAAGTTCTTTGCTGCATCCCTAATATCAGGAGACGAGGAACTAATATCAGGCGACTAGGAAGAAGAACAAGAAGAGGTCATTGAGGGTTCTACGAAGACGTCTACAATGCAGTCACGAAGTTGACGTCTAAGTCGCAGAAGCATGCTTCCTGCATGCAGCTGCTGACCTCCACTCAGCTCCCATCTCTAGTGAACCTTTCACAGGTTTCACACATGCAAACCTGCACACAGGACCAGGCCTTTATGTAGCCCCAGATGTTTGCGCAGATGCAGGCCTTTGCACAGCCTCAGACCTTCTCCCAACCCCTGCTGTTCACATAACCCACAGCTTTTAATTTACACAGGCGCAGTTGTTCGAGTAGCCTCCTACGTTCACACAACCTGCCTTTTATCACCCTACCTTCTTCATCCAATGACTTCGTAGCTAATGTTACTCAGCAAGTGATCCTTGCTATGCAGCATCAACATGGACTCAACAAACCACCTACACAGTCTTCCACATCTACTCCCTTCTTTGACCCTGTGTCTCACACTTCTCACGGTTCGGCTATGGCGCTTTGCAGGAAGAGGATGTGTTTAAGCCTTCCTTTGCTGATACATCCTCACGTCATGAGGAAATACCTTCTATCTACACCGACCAGGGGTTGCTGATACATCCTCACGTCATGAGGAAATACCTTCTATCTACACCTACCAGGAGTTGCTGATACATCCTCACGTCATGAGGAAATACCTTCTATCTACACCTACCAGGAGTTGCTGATACATCCTCACGTCATGAGGAAATACCTTCTATCTACACCTACCAGGAGTTGCTGATACATCCTCACGTCATGAGGAAATACCTTCTATCTACACCTACCAGGAGTTGCTGATACATCCTCACGTCATGAGGAAATACCTTCTATCTACACCGACCAGGAGTTGCTGATACATCCTCACGTCATGAGGAAATACCTTCTATCTACACCTACCAGGAGTTGCTGATACATCCTCACGTCATGAGGAAATACCTTCTATCTACACCGACCAGGAGTTGCTGATACATCCTCACGTCATGAGGAAATACCTTCTATCTACACCAACCAGGAGTTGCTGATACATCCTCACGTCATGAGGAAATACCTTCTATCTACACCGACCAGGGGTTGCTGATACATCCTCACGTCATGAGGAAATACCTTCTATCTACACCTACCAGGAGTTGCTGATACATCCTCACGTCATGAGGAAATACCTTCTATCTACACCGACCAGGAGTTGCTGATACATCCTCACGTCATGAGGAAATACCTTCTATCTACACCTACCAGGAGTTGCTGATACATCCTCACGTCATGAGGAAATACCTTCTATCTACACCGACCAGGAGTTGCTGATACATCCTCACGTCATGAGGAAATACCTTCTATCTACACCGACCAGGGGTTGCTGATACATCCTCACGTCATGAGGAAATACCTTCTATCTACACCGACCAGGAGTTGCTGATACATCCTCACGTCATGAGGAAATACCTTCTATCTACACCTACCAGGAGTTGCTGATACATCCTCACGTCATGAGGAAATACCTTCTATCTACACCGACCAGGAGTTGCTGATACATCCTCACGTCATGAGGAAATACCTTCTATCTACACCTACCAGGAGTTGCTGATACATCCTCACGTCATGAGGAAATACCTTCTATCTACACCGACCAGGAGTTGCTGATACATCCTCACGTCATGAGGAAATACCTTCTATCTACACCGACCAGGGGTTGCTGATACATCCTCACGTCATGAGGAAATACCTTCTATCTACACCGACCAGGAGTTGCTGATACATCCTCACGTCATGAGGAAATACCTTCTATCTACACCGACTAGGAGTTGCTGACATGGATTGCAGATGGTCTTCCCATCTCCTCTCAGTCCAAGGATCTACCTTCTACTGATACTTCTACTGATACTCTCTGGCGAGAACTTCGAGTCTCCTCTGCCACCAATTAATTGTACCTTATAAGCCATAAAGAATATTAACACATCCTTCATCAAAGCTACTAGGACTCAGGGCTTACCAACCCCTCACATCAACCCTAAGAAGTTACCCTTACACAGCATGACACCATTCTTACAGGCTCCGGATTTAGACAAAGACTATAATGTATTTTTGGACCTACAGAGTCGAGGACAAGAAGCTCGCACAACTTGACACAACAGTTAGACGAGCTTTCCTGGGATTGACCATGTCTCGTTCTTTTAATGAAGCAAAGCTCTCTAACCTCAAGACCCCACAGTCCGACAGCAAGCGTATGCTACTGTCAGCTATGGTCAACCAGCATAAGTTTCAGGAATCCATTTCCGACCAAATCAGTTCTGCTTCAGCCGGACTTACACTGTTACGTCGTCAAGGGTTGGTCTCTAACTCTAACTGGTCACACCTCTACCCAAAGCCTTTCCTATGCCATCCTTGGGATTCCCCTATCAATAAAGAAGTTGCAGTGGTGTTACCTACGGCAGCCAGAATGTCATATATCCATGGCATAGATTTCTGCTGCACTAGATTTGACAATGGCGACAACGCATCAGCCCATCTGGGTCTCCCTTGGGATTTTATTGCCAAGAATCAACTGCCAGGTCAACCAGACAGATAGTTTCATATTCCACCTTTATCATCTATGTTTGGTTCCGAAGATATGGAAGATTTATCACTGTTTCCAGTCAGAGCCTGACATATTTATTTACAAAGGACGAATTCCAGACGTCAAAGTCTGCGAAGTCTCTTGATTTTCTCCTCCTCTCACAAGTACGGAGGTGGTGCCCACTACAGCTTGATGTCCAAGAAGTAAGAAGATCACCACCAATCATGTGATTCAAGCAGTTAGTATGAATCAGGATAAGGTAAAATATGTATTTTTTAGGGTAAAAATATCATTTATACTTATCCTGATTCATTTGCTATTGCCTCGTCCAGCATACATGTTTTGGTCGTAAGGTCAAGCGAAAGGAGATGGGAAAGAGTAGAAGGAGTGAGGCCTATGAAAACTTTGAAATTTGTTGGTACATCACTTACCAGGTCAGAGTTTATGGAGAAGCAGAGGAATGACAGTAGCTTAGAAAAGGCCAGGAAGCTGATAGAAGAAGGGACAGAAAAACAAACAGCTTAAAATTTTGCAGATGAGGGTATGCTGTATCGCAAGTATATTGGCAAGGAAGTTCATACCAGTGTTCCCGTTATTCAGGCTTTAGTACCTTTGGAGGTTAGAGGTCATGAAAGTGTGTCATGAGTCATTGATGGCTGGTCATATGGGAGTAATGAGAACACTAGATAGTGTTACTTCTCAGTTCTGTTGGCCAGGAGTTCAGGGGTATGTGAGGTGTCATTGTTTATCATGTGACGTGTCAGTGGACAATCGTGAAGTGCAAGGTCGGAAGAGATGCTCTTGATCGCTACACCATTTGAAAGAATAGCTGTAGACTTGAATGGCCCTTTGAATCTGGTAACTGATAGGGGTAACAGATACATCCTCACTGGTAGATTAAGGTACAAGGTACCCTGAGGCAGTGGCTCTTCCACTAGAAACAGAGTAAGTATGTTACTGAAGCATTGTTTGAGAGCAGGGTTGGTGTTCCAAAGGAGATGCTGTCAGATATTGGTCCACAGTTCACGTCTGCTGTTATTAAAGAGGTAAGCAGGTTATTATCTCTCAAATAGCTTACCACAACTCCATATCATCCAATGTGCAATGGACTAGTTGAAAGGTTTAATGGCACCTTGAAGACCATGCTGAAGCGGTTGAGTGCAGAGCAACCCAAAGATTGGGATCGTTACGTACCAGCATTGTTATTCGTGAGGTCCCTCAGGAAAGTTTGAGATTTGTTCGATTTGATTAACTGTATGGTAGGAAGGTAAGAGGTCCAGTTCAGGTTTTAAGAGAATTATGGACAAAGGATATCACAAACGAGGAGAGGCTTTGGCACATGCCTCCGGTGTGGCGGCACGTCTGAGAGGTGCGTTGTGGTGAGATGTTTTTCGCGGTTCTTGGGAATACAGCACAGGAGTATCCACTACCTTTTCGGAATGAGATGATATAAGCAATTAGTATGAATCAGTATAAGTATAGATGATAATTTTACCCCAAAAATGTTTTCCGAGAATTAATTAACATCTTATTTTCTCAGGTTGATGATGATGTTGATATTACTGAATTCTGCCTCCAACATGCGTATGGCAATATAAAGTATAACGATGATGCCAATGCTCTCTGGCATACAAGTTACACAGGCAGCGACACACAAACCATCGTGAAGCATCTCTCCACCAATAAAATCTATTCATTCCGAATATGTGGTCGAGGAGACCCCAAGTCTGCCTGGAGTGCCTGGAGCCTGCCCACCACGGGTGTCACCACAGTACCTCATTACCGTATGTAAACCTGGCATGCCCCTTGTGCACATGATAGCTTGGTGTATCTCAACCTTCCTATTTCTTCTTTGTGAGCGCTTGATTCTCTTAGGCTTGTTTTTCTCAAACAAATATTGTGAAATTAGTGCCTGGTCATTTACAGGTATATCATTTAAATAATTATTTGTTTACTATATGCAAATATTAATTATTTTTAACTTACGGGTGATTTTTCTTTGCCAGCTATGGAAAAATGTTGTGAGTTTGCTTGCATGTCTGTTGTTTTGAAAGAAATAATTTATTGGCTTATATTCAGCATAAAGTATGAGATTCTGTATTTAAAAGAGCAGTTTCAAACACACACTTCATTTAAAGGTTTGGGTAAGATATTTCTTCCTTAAAAAGTATGCAGGCACTCTTTGTCTGGCTTTGACTATAGACTCTGCCTAACATTTGCTGTTCAATCTCATTAAAAATCAGACCTTAATTCTCGCTACCGCTAAACAAGACATCCCATTAAGAGTCAGGTCAGACCGACCTTGCGAGAACTTTGACCGACCAATAGAATGACCAATCAGAAGGCAGCTTTCTCGTGCTTTACGGCACTAATTTCAAATTGGCGAATACGCTTCGAAACATATTTTGACAAATTCTCAATTACAAATTTGAAACCTAAACGAAAGAAAATTCTGGAATGGCTAATAGATGGTCCAGATTGTATGGATTCAGTCGTTAAACCTGTAACTATCGTTCGGAATACCCCGTGTTAAAGTTTTCGAGGTTGTATGATTAGAAATCACATTCCGACTGTTACTTTCATGATCTGGTAAGCGATTCTCTCATTGGTCGGATGAAAGGTTGTTCTGACGTGACCCCTAATGGGATGTCTTCAGGTCTTTGTTTAGCGGTAGCAAGAACTAAGGTCTGATTTTAATGAGATTGATATGCTGTTTGAAACCATGCTGTGTTGGACACCTTAGTCATATCATATTAGGTAATCTAACAACCACATCTTTTTGACACATTGATCAGTCATGTCAGGGGTCAAGATCATAGCCCTGATGAAACGTTTGTTTAATACAAATCTCAAAAAGTATTTACTGAAGATCAATTAACTTGAGAAGATCATAAGTGACCATCAGATGAGGTCAAGGTCATGGTGAAGGTTCAAGGTCACAGTGAAGATTCATTGTAAAGTTTGTTTGCCATTGACACTAAATTGCCTTTTTCTGGAGATGTCTTCAAGAAATTTTATGCATTATGGGAAGCCATGATAATCTCATGATATTAATAGAAAGCCACCTACCATCAATGAGGAAAGTCCTTGGGAATGTTTTCAAATACTTGCAACTGATATTGAAGGTCAAATTCACTTTCAAGGCCATTCACATTCCTGTTCAAAACAGAAGTGATATTATTCACCTGGAAGTGGGTATAACTTTCTTTGTAATGTAGCTAGAGCAATGGGACTGGTTCAGAAGTATTACTGCATTGGGTGTGTGGTTTCATTGAATGAATGATGTCATTGGAGATGAAGTAATTATATAAGAAATTCTTTAGGTTCCTAGGTAAGGCGCCTCTATCTGGGTTATGGGTATGGTTGAAGGAGGCATGTCTTTCACCAAACTGAAAGTAATGGTATCACATTTGAAATGCATGACATGTAATGATGTCTGTTGCTTCTAGAAATGGCAGTGAAGGGCTGCTTCTGTTTTTGCAATTACTTGACGAATAGAGGTCTGATGTGAACTCCTGTTTCTTCCCCAGAATGGAACTGTGAAAGTAAGGCTTACAGCACTAGTAATGAGGACAAGACAGCGACACGCATCACCGGATCCTTGACATCTGTTCTCTACTCAGGCGTTCCAAGCATATCATCCGGCGAACAGATCTCTTTCCGGATTTTGGATTCAGGAGAAAAATCATTTGATGATGGAGTTGGAGTATCATGGATGGATGATGACGCAGATACACTTAGACGTTTGGGTGCTGTTTGTGTAGATACAGGAGGTGAGTCAGATTGCCTGACTCTGCTTTTTAAGGCTTTGAACCACAGCCATAAAAAATATATTGTAAAGGCAAAGGCCTGTTATACTAAATGAACTGTTGAAACTCTGATTTGGATGTGAGACTTGCTGAAGTACATTACAGTCAAGTCTCGTTAATCCGACAATCGGCTTTAGCTGACACTAAAGATGGGAACCGATTAAATCAGTGCTATTTAACCCCTTTACTCCGACAGTCTAGCACTCCAACTCCGACACATGTAATTGGCAACGAATTACCCAAATCACTCATTAATCAGTCTTGTTAATCCTACTTCCATTCCAGACTATGCTTTTTAAAGTATTTTGAATCAGTCATACAGTCCGAAACAGTTGTTTTGTTTTAAGCTTCAGGGGTTGCATGTTTAGAAAATATATTCCACTAACAATGTAACATAACAATATGAATATTTCATTTTTCATTTTTTTATTACGTGTTTGTATCGTTTTTTGATCATGAACGTTGATACTGCTTAGTTTCGTTCATCTGACATACTCATTAATCCGACATAATCATATGCAACCAACCATGTCAGATTAACAGGAATTGAATTATAATTATATGTCCTTGTATTTTGTAGTAAAGTTTATTGAGGAATGTGTTCCACTAGGAACTCTTTTACTCTCTGCCCTTGTATTTTGTAGGTAAAGTGTGTTGATGAATGTGTCCCTCAAGGATCTCTCTGTATGCCCTTGTATTTTGTAGGTAAAGTGTGTTGATGAATGTGTCCCTCAAGGATCTCTCTGTATGCCCTTGTATTTTGTAGGTAAAGTGTGTTGATGAATGTGTCCCTCAAGGATCTCTCTGTATGCCCTTGTATTTTGTAGGTAAAGTGTGTTGATGAATGTGTCCCTCAAGGATCTCTCTGTATGTCCTTGTATTTTGTAGGTAAAGTGTGTTGATGAATGTGTCCCACAAGGATCTCTCTGTATGTCCTTGTATTTTGTAGGTAAAGTGTGTTGATGAATGTGTCCCTCAAGGATCTCTCTGTATGCCCTTGTATTTTGTAGGTAAAGTGTGTTGATGAATGTGTCCCACAAGGATCTCTCTGTATGCCCTTGTATTTTGTAGGTAAAGTGTGTTGATGAATGTGTCCCTCAAGGATCTCTCTGTATGCCCTTGTATTTTGTAGGTAAAGTGTGTTGATGAATGTGTCCCTCAAGGATCTCTCTGTATGTCCTTGTATTTTGTAGGTAAAGTGTGTTGATGAATGTGTCCCACAAGGATCTCTCTGTATGTCCTTGTATTTTGTAGGTAAAGTGTGTTGATGAATGTGTCCCTCAAGGATCTCTCTGTATGCCCTTGTATTTTGTAGGTAAAGTGTATGTTGATGGTCAGGAGATGAAGACGAAGTTGTCCCCAATAGTCAAAGGATCTGTGCTCACCATTAAGACAGAGCCTCTACCCAACGGGAAAGTGCGAGTAAGTGTAGAGGCCAATGACAAAGAGGTGACATTTGATTGGAAAGCTGAAGCGCCACAAGGGGGCGCTGCTGGTTTTTCAGCGACGCCTATGCAGGGCATGCCACTGAGTCGACAGTTCTCTGCACATCAGCTGTATTTTGCTATGAGGTTTACACATGAAGATTGGAAGATTGCTGTGGAATGAACAGTGGTGTTCATTGTTCAAGATTGTTTTAATTGTTCCCATTGAAATATGGCCAATGAAGTCATTGAAACACTAAAACTCTGAAACTTGGTCAGAATTGTTGTTTTTGTTGCTGAAACTGCTGCATTTAGTATATGGGGTGCATTTATTGTGTGGGGTGCATTTAGTGTAAGGGATGCATATATGGTGCTGTTAGAAATGATGCAGTGAGAATGTGTGACAACACACATAGGAATGAGGCCATGTCTATCTCCTTAAAATCCGATCTCCTTCTCCGATTTGATACCTTTCTGCGTGAAGATCAGACAACCCCTCCATTGGAGTTTGCATTAGGTGAACCCTGAGCGATCTTTTGACTACCAAATCTAAATGAAGAATGCATGGGTTCTTGACCCAAGAAGATGTCAGCTTTCAATGACAAATCTGCTTCTTTCTTACCATCTCATTTCGGAAGTCTAAATTTGTAGGATGTTCTGATTGGTCAGTAGGAAGGACATAGAAGGGACATAATTTATTTATTGCCACTAGTGGCTCTACGATCGAAAATTCCAACCTAGTTCGGCAAGGGTGGAAACTGGACTCTTACAGTCAGTTAACTCCTTTGCCTCGGGAAGATGGACGCAGAGAGGAATCATATGGCAGCATGGCAACAATGGCCTTCAGAGAAGACCAGCTCTCATCCTGGATGTGTGTTGGCATAGCATGACTATCACACTGTCATTAGTGTCATCCACTGTGTTTTCTGATCACTTACCGGCCACTGTGATAGGGATGAATATTGCTGGCTATGGTGTAATAGCCCATTTGCTCATCATCTGTTTGCGCCAGTCTCAAATACACTTTATTCTCTATTTCCTTCACAATTTCATGTTATCAGTTATTGATTGATGAAAGACTTGTATTTCTCAGTGAATCTGTACATCACAACTTATTGCATGTAGAAGATACATGGTTATATGTTGTTGTTCTTGTTGTTATTGTTGGGGATGTGTCTGAAGAGATAGATGATACACAGGCGGCCCAGGACTTGTTTACCCTGATGCTTGTGTTCCCATTCTCGGATTGATGCCTGTCTGTGTTGAACAGTGTTTGAAATAATTTTAAAACCCAACACGACAATCGGTCAGGTGACCAATAAATGTTGCCTGCCTGCATGCAGACATTATAAATATTGAAACATTGCGAAAAGTAAGAGACAAATCATGTGTTGATTCAGTTAAAATAATGCTAACAATTACTTGAGAATCTACGAGGAGTTATGATGAAACTGAATATGTAAGTTGGCTTAAAATTATCTGCCAGACAGTCGGGCAGGTAGAGGAAAATTTCACGCAGCCCAACAGAAAAGTTACCAGCTTACGGGCAGGCAGTTATTTCGGACACTGGTGTTGGATCATGGACAAGTCCAGAAGAGTTACTTCCCTTGCTTTGACATAAAAATGATGTTATTTTCAGGGACTTGTGCAGTTTATCTACAGATGCATGATTTTCACATTTGACAGAGATATGACAATGTATATATGATGTGGATTATAACTTATTTTTCCAAGTTTTCTTATTTTCATTATGAAAAGGTGTGCTTATTAGGTATCAGTAATAAAGGTCTGAGGTGTTTGCTGATTAGTGCAGAGTAACGTCCCTTTGTCATGTTAGGATCTGCTCATAATGGGCTCAGATCCCAAGTTATCATCCTTGGTTTTTCTGTACTATAATCCTACTCTTGGGTTTCACTTTCACCACAGTGGTAAATGTCTAGCACCTGCTCCACTTTGGGCTTTCCTCTCTCATGAAACAGAGATGTCATGATGTAGCTAACACACTGTTACATGGCATTTAAGCCCAGTTCACTCATTGATGTGACCGATTCTTTGGCGTAGTGGATAGAGCGTCTGCCTGGAGAGCAGATGGTTGATGGTTTGATCCCTGGGCATGTCAAACCAAATGACGTTAAAAGATGGTATTGGTTGTAACCCTGCTTGGCGCTTGGCATTAAGGGGATAAAGCAAGGACTGGTCGGCTCGGAGTCAGTATACTGTGTGGGGTATTCATGTTAAACTGCGGCATGGTATCTCAGTGGGCTAGTACTATAAACCGGCAGTAGTCCAGACTAGTACAAGCAGACACACAATATGAGTGCAATCTTGAACGTGATGTTAAACTCCATTTAAGCTCACATCAATGTGAGCAGTGCCTGAGAACTTTCACACAATTAAGGGTCGTAATGTTCACCTTTTGATTTGCGACCAGAGAGAGCTTTGAAAATGATTTAAAAAAATAATCAAAATCATACCTTTAAACATATGGTGCCTTCTGATGCAAATTGTTACATACTCTTTTAAATATTTCAGATTTGAATTGAGCCACAAATTTCCTATTCCCAGACATTTAGAAATGTATAGATTGTGTGTTATGGTGTAGTGATATCATATGAAACAATTGCTGTAAAGGCAATAATGTGTGCTTCCTATTTGTATAGATGAATAGAAATGCTGGTGTTGACCGCAGTGTCGGGGAATCTGTGTAGTGCCTGTTTTGCTGCCACTTGTAATGTGTATATTTTGTTTTATCTCTTCTCCACATCTTAACTTAAGCTTACTTATCTCCATGCAACTTATATATGCTGTGACTTCGGTTCCAAATTCTGTTTTGCACAGCTAAATCTACAGGTAACCAAGCACTGTATGTTTATTGTATGTTTATCTCCAAATTACCTGTACATGGATTTCATACTTACAAAATACCAGATAACCCAAGGTTAATTATTTGTATGAAGTTACCGCTATAATTCAAAATCAACTGATTCCATTAATTTCCTGCCTTGGAACAAATGGTTCTTCATCCTGTTATTTGTTCTTGACTTCTGTTGTTACGACATAAGTACTTACATTAGATTTGGATAACACAAACATCCCACTGGTGCAGTATTATCCTTACACCAATGATATGGCATTAGTTTCTTACTCTGTGTGTGCGTGCGTGCGTGCGTGCGTGCGTGCGTGCGTGCGTGTGTTCGTGTATGTGTGTGTGTGTTCGTGCATGTGTGTGTGTTCGTGCCTGTGTGCATTCGTGTGTGAGTGAGGGGGTGAGTGAGTGAGTGAGTGAAGGCCATCTGTTGGTTAAAATGTGACCCTGGGTGATGTGTGTGTTACGGTACCCTGACTACATTGATCATTGCTCATTCTGTCATCCACTGGTTACAGTTGGAACATTACCAACTGCAGCACTAAACAACATTCACTCATAAGAAATGAAATCAATTTCAATTACAAAATTTCCCTTTCAAAGCAACAAAAATCGGCGATGATGACATTCCACATGATGCCCGGCAGCATGTAGAAATGCATTTATATCTGAACAGCTGTGTGTACTGGTCAAGGGTTTTCACAGACATTGTCAATTTAGGTCATGCTTGAAATGTTTAGATGACCTTATTTGTGGTCATTCGTCATTCTCGTGTACCGTATAGAATATATTTGTGCAAACTGCTATCTTGCTACATTGATTACGTCATTGTGATTAGATCGATCAGGTTGTGCCATGCTTTTCTGTATAAATATTGTGCATATGTCTTGACTGTTATTGTGAAAACCTAGTCAATGCTATTCGTACAGAGCATTGCATCTCTTTGCTCGCCTGATTTAGGAGTGGCGGTATAGCCTAGTGGTTAATGTGTTCAGAAGGCCTAAGATTGTTTCCCAGTCCTGGAGTCCCCTCCATGATGTTACTGGAGTATTGAGAACATGGCTCTCACACTGTAAGTGAAAGAATTTGTTGAAATAATGAATGTTTGTCATGATTTTTCAGAACCAATGCTGAGAAGCATTTTGATGATTTCTGACTCTGGTGATTGTGACTGTCCACACCATATTAAAGTATATTAAATACTCTTACTCTTGTCTTCCTCCATTTTCTTGATTGTAGAAACTCCATTTCTACCTTCATGTAAATAAATCAAACAGGTTGGATGCACAGGTGACCCAGTGGTCAAGATAAGGCTGTGCAGAGTTGCATCCCTTACCCGTGCCAGGATGCCCGTACTAGTCCAAATATGATCCATACTAGTGGAGTTCGTGCTACCTCTTTCACGTTACTCTGATACTCACACTGACAGTAGTGGGCTGATAACACAACCTGCCTGTGTTTACTGTGCATGTGGCAGATATTGTATTTTGTGATTGTTTCTAGGTTTGTCAGCACCATAACCCGCTTGTTGGTTTTACCAAAGTGGTAAATGTCTAAGACTTGTAGTTCAGGCTTTCCTCCCACATCAAGCTAACACGCCGTGATATAACTGGAATACTGTTCAAAGGGGTGTTAAACCCAACTTGCTTACTCCCATGTAAAGCTGACATGCCGCGATATAACTGAAATACTACTGAATGTAGCATTACACCAAACTTAGAAATACTCTGATCAGAAAATAACATTTTTATTTGTTACCACCTTCTAACCATGTTTTATGCAACAGCCTACAGAAGGCAGTTTTACTTTTGAATCTAAAGTGCTGATAAGAGATTTGTGAGAAATGTACTTTTGATTTTATCAACTCTGTACAAGATGCTGAATATTTGAGTCAACAAAAGACATTTTCCTCAGAGTTATTGGAACTTACTATTTATGCACTGTTACCATGGTAATATTATTTATGTATCCATGAGGTGTGTCCTGGTATGTTTTTCACATGTGTTTTTATAGTACCTAGAATGTGTGAACCATGTTTGTGGTCAGATTTGCCAAACCTTGACATTTGATGATCTTTTGTTTTCCTCATTGGAAATGAAACCCGGTCCATAAAACAAACTGAACATTCTGACTCAACTATTCCAAGCTTTGTATGAATTCAAAATACACAATGATTCATTTGATATCAATTCTCTTTCACTTGAATGAAGGGTTTGGCATTTGTGAGACTATGGAATAACGTTGTAATGTTAAATGTGCTGCCCACAAGTATCTGATCTCATGCAATGTGTTGATGTTCCCGTGTCAGAATATGCAGTATTATAGACTACAGCCATTCATGAGGAATAAGTGTATATTGATCAGGGATGCTGGATTGTTATGCTCATTACTAAATTATGAAATAAATTATATATTATAATGAAAGAACATCTTCAAATTGTTTGTATTCAGTGAATTCAGGCTTTATGAGGGATCTTGCCACAGCATTGATCTGTGATGGCTACTAACCCACACCAATCCAGCATATCTCACTGCCATAAAACATCCAGCATATCACACGACCAGCATGTCTCACGGCCATAACACATCCAGCATATCACACAACCATCAGACATCCAGCATATCACACGGCTATGACACATCCAGCATATCACACAACCATGACACATCCAGCATATCTCACAACCATCAGACATCCAGCATATCACACGGCCATGACACATCCAGCATATCACACAACCATCAGACATCCAGCATATCACACAACCATGACACATCCAGCATATCTCACAACCATCAGACATCAAGCATATCACACGGCCATGACACATCCAGCATATCTCACAACCATCAGACATCCAGCATATCACACAACCATGACACATCCAGCATATCACACAACCATGACACATCCAGCATATCTCACAACCATCAGACATCCAGCATATCACACGGCCATCAGACATCCAGCATATCACACGGCCATGACACATCCAGCATATCACACAACCATGACACATCCAGCATATCTCACAACCATCAGACATCCAGCATATCACACGGCCATGACACATCCAGCATATCACACAACCATGACACATCCAGCATATCACACAACCATGACACATCCAGCATATCACACGGCCATGACACATCCAGCATATCACACAACCATGACACATCCAGCATATCTCACAACCATCAGACATCCAGCATATCACACGGCCATGACACATCCAGCATATCACACAACCATCAGACATCCAGCATATCACACGGCCATGACACATCCAGCATATCACACAACCATGACACATCCAGCATATCTCACAACCATCAGACATCCAGCATATCACATGGCCATTACACATCCAGCATATCACACAACCATGACACATCCAGCATATCTCACAACCATCAGACATCCAGCATATCACACGGCCATGACACATCCAGCATATCTCACAACCATCAGACATCCAGCATATCAGACAACCATGACACATCCAGCATATCACACGGCCATGACACATCCAGCATATCTCACAACCATCAGACATCCAGCATATCACACAACCATCAGACATCCAGCATATCACACGGCCATGACACATCCAGCATATCACACAACCATGACACATCCAGCATATCTCACAACCATCAGACATCCAGCATATCACACGGCCATCAGACATCCAGCATATCACCCGGCCATGACACATCCAGCATATCACACAACCATGACACATCCAGCATATCTCACAACCATCAGACATCCAGCATATCACCCGGCCATGACACATCCAGCATATCACACAACCATGACACATCCAGCATATCTCACAACCATCAGACATCCAGCATATCACACGGCCATGACACATCCAGCATATCACACAACCATCAGACATCCAGCATATCACACGGCCATGACACATCCAGCATATCACACAACCATGACACATCCAGCATATCTCACAACCATCAGACATCCAGCATATCACACGGCCATGACACATCCAGCATATCACACAACCATGACACATCCAGCATATCTCACAACCATCAGACATCCAGCATATCACACGGCCATGACACATCCAGCATATCTCACAACCATCAGACATCCAGCATATCACACAACCATGACACATCCAGCATATCACACGGTCATGACTCATCCAGCATATCACAACCATTACACATCCAGCATATCACACGGCCATGACACATCCAGCATATCTCACAACCATCAGACATCCAGCATATCACACGGCCATGACACATCCAGCATATCACATGGCCATGACACATCCAGCATATCACACAACCATTACACATCCAGCATATCTCACAACCATCAGACATCCAGCATATCACACGGTCATGACACATCCAGCATATCACACAACCATTACACATCCAGCATATCACACGGCCATGACACATCCAGCATATCTCACAACCATCAGACATCCAGCATATCACACGGCCATGACACATCCAGCATATCACATGGCCATGACACATCCAGCATATCACACGGCCATCAGACATCCAGCACATCACACGGCCATCAGATGGACAGTATCTCCAGACAATCTAACATACAGCATTATGCGGTCTGGTCTCAACATGCTCGGAGGCATAGGTGGCCCAGTCGTCCGAGGCACCACAACTCGCTGTTCAAAGGTGTGTCCCTTGAGCATGCCAGAACCATATGATTGTGGCTTGGTTCCCGGTTCATCCTGTTTCTAGGTTTGTCAGAAACACACCCTAGCACATGGGTTCCACCAAACTGGTAAACATCGGAGACCTGCTTCACTTAGGGATTTCCTCCCACATTAAGCTGACATGCCATGATATGAGTGGAATTTTGTTCAAAGCGGCACCAAACCCAACTCACTCAACATGCTCAATGCACCAATGATCATCTCACATGAATAGTCTGTCAATTAAATATTCAAAAATTCATTTCAAGTATCAGACAACGCACAGAAAATTTACAGACATGGGAATACATTTATTCACCTCCCCCCCAAAACTCATTCATCATTGAGTGAGTTGGGCTTAACGCCGCTTTTAACAATATTCCAGTAATATCGCGACGTGTCAGCTTAATGTGGGAGGAAATCCAAAAGTGGTGCAGGTCTCCGACATTTACCACTTTGGTGAAACCCACGAGCATGGGTTAGTGCTGACAAACCTAGAAACATAATCGGGGCCAACAGGGATTTGAACCCACAATCATAGGTTTCTGGCGTACCCAAGGGACGCAACTCTGCACAGCGAATCGTGGCGCCTTAGATGACTGGGCCACCAATCCCCCCATTCATCATTGACAAAAACTAGCAAGAAGTGATACAGTGATAACGTATAGTTACTACTATTCAAGCGAGTGAGGTTCTCTACTGCTTGTAGTGGTACTCAACAACATCCCATCACAAGACAATGAGTTTTACACATTGTGCCCATGTGGAGAATGAAACCCAGTTTCTTGGTGATGCCGACCCAGTTGTCCCTCTCCTTAGTTGGCCATTATGTGACAAAACAAGAAAGAAACACCAGACCTTTTTGTTGTTTTCTATTTATTCACACATACATCAGAACTGCTTTTAATGCTAAAAAGTGAAGATTACATACTCTCCAGTGAATCTTTCACCACCTAAAGTACTGATCAAAAGACAAAATCTTCTTTATCTGAAATGGTTCATATTACATTGATATTTACATATGTTGAGAGAGAGAAATATGAGTGAGTGAGTGAGTGAGTATGGTTTTGCGCCGCTTTTAGCAATATTCCAGCAATACCACGGCGGGGGACACCAGAAATGGGCTTCACACATTGTACCCAGAGAGAAATATGTACATGATGTAGCAGTGAAATGTCATGAAGAAATTATTGAAACTATGGTACATATAACTGATCACAAATTACATACATAAAAAGATTGAAAACCTTTCACAAAATCTACATACCAAATTACATCCTAATTATTCATGAGGCAAGGAACATTATTGTGACTGACATTTTCTTTTTTTATTACAATGAATACAAATATTAAAAATATGCAAACAAATGTTAAAAATAAGACACATTATTTTTTTTTGTATTCACACTACAAAGCCCCAAAGGGAGCATTGAAATAGTGTGAAATTTTCATGACTTGTAAAGGTCAGATGATCTCTGAGATAGTTACAACAAAATTCCACTTTTCTATATATCAGCCGGAACAGCCCCTGCAGCCACAGTGTATACACTCAACAATCTTGCCCTGAAAAATAAACAAGAAATTGATATCAGGCATCCTTCCAAGATATGGATGAATCAGGTATTAAGCTTTGAACAGTATTTCAGTTATATCACAGCATGTCAGCTTAATATGGGAGGAATGCCTAAAGCATTGTAAAGTGACACAGGTCAAAGGTGTTTGTTACTATGGTGAAGCCCATGAGCATAGAAATGGTACTGATAGCAGTCTGTGCCCAAACCTTTTGGGTCTACCAGCCTGAGCATGGCTCTTAACATCATTTTCAGAGGAGTTTTGTGTTATAAGGACTGTTATTAGCTGAGCTTACAAGACCAAACAGAATTTTTACTAGACTCATGCTTCGGACTAGTGGCTAAAATCACAGACTTCTGACAGACCAAGGATCAACATCAAGGTGAATTTATGCCTTGACCCCCATGACCAACAGATCCTGGCACAACTAAGGGACACAACTCTGCAGTGAAAGGTGTCTCCTTTTACCACTGGGCCATGCAAGAGTTAGGCCCTCTAAGTATTACAGACAGAGTGACAGTGCAATAACTGGATATTAAGGGAATGCTGTCAAGATCAAATACTTAATAGCAATCTCCCATTGGACAAGAGTTGTAAGCAGTGCTTTCATTAATAATAGACCACAAAACCTTTATTATTTGTTCCTGGATTATTTTAAAAATAATTAGAAATGATCTTGCATCACTGGCATATATCATAACGATGCAACATGATATTATTCCGGTGAAGGTCTTTTTGAAATAATGTACACACAATAGAAGTAGAAACAATAACCAATAGGGTTGGCTACAATTAGTTAGATTTATTTAAGCATCCGATCCATCCAGGATACCATGAATGGGCCTCACCGATACTTTCCATGTGTTAGTTTGTTGTTTAATGCTGTACTCAGCAATATTCCAGCTATATGACGGCAGTCTGTAAATAAGAGTCTGGACCAGACAATTCAGTGATTGACATCATGAGCATCAAACCACACAGTTGGGATATGATGACATGCATCAACCAAGTCAGCAAGCCTGACCAGCCGATCCTGTCAGTCGCCTCTTACGACAAGCATGGGTTGCTGAAGACCTACTCCATGTGTGTCAGACAAACCATACAAAATAAATCAATGTACAATGTAAAACATCCAAATCAGTAGCCACTACATTTATTCATCTCAGTCCTTTGGATTTTGAAAAATATTGACAATAAGTAACATTATTTTTTCCGTATGATTTATTCTCCACAACAGCCAAACTGTCAGCAAGAAATAAAATATGAATGTCACTCCTACTGAACTTTATAGTCATGGTTTTAACGATGGACACAGAAAGATCAATCAGTTTGTTTTGTAAATATGCATACAATAGTGTTTCATAATCATGATAATGGTCACACTGGTTTTGAGATGGATTGTTTCAAGTTTAAGTGATCAGAAATGGGATTACTCAATTTTATCAAGTGAACTTGTTTACAAAAATGAATGAAGAACACTTACAGTTTCCAGTTTGCCTTTAGGTACTCTGCAGATACAGTTGGTAGCGAAGTTGGTGTCGCGTACCTGGATACAGCGGAGGCAGCATAAGTTCTCATAGCCTTGTTTCTTCCACTTGGCTATCAGGTTCTTGTCTGCTATTCCCTCCTTCAGGCAGTACTCGTACAACTCTGGAATCATACCAAAGTATTTGCTTAGTTGTCAAAACATTCAAAAAATTCTGTTACCATAGTAACCAGTCTCAGGTTGAAATTATGTAAGTTGAATATTCATTTAATAAGGGGGTACCTACAATGGAAAATTTTAAAATGAAATTTCTTGAAGTGAGTGAGTTTGGTTTTATGACGCTTTAGCAATATTGCAGCAATATCATGGCAAGGGACTCCAGAAATAGGTTTCACACATTCTACCCATGTAGAACCACTAGGTTACCCCACCACCCCCAGATTTCCCTGAAATAAATGCTGCCAAGAAAGCATGGCCAGTGAATCATTATTCAGCTTCAATAATAAAGTCAGCAATGTTACAGTTGCATCACCAAGGCGTAGTCTGGGTCTGAGTAAGATGTGATGATTAAAAGTGTTTTTATTCCATAAATCAGCAAATAGTAAAGTTACAGCAATACGGTTTAGTAAATCTTTGTTGTTGTTGTTTCTGCCATCAACAGTTGCACCATCATCATGTGTTGCATCATCTATTGGTGAATGTAATCCCTACTAATAAGTCTCACCTCTACTGATAGCTTTTCTCCTGTAGAACAGATCATACAGATATCGAGACTTCTGATGGTGAATGCGAAATATTGGCCACAGTGCCTCCACCTTCCTCTTTCCCTCATGTGGCTCTGTTTCAGCTAAAAAGAAACAAATTGATTACAGCACATAAGTAGAATTTAAAAATCGACTCATTTAAGATGGGCATACTTTTTTGGATTCCAATTAGTGGCAAGAGCGTAGATGTCCCAGACTTCAAGCACTGTGAGCTACAGAGCCAGCTGTCATACTGCTTCCTTGCAAGCAAAGGCCCCACATGTTACAGACTAATGACTTGTAACCTCCCCAATAAGGAACCTCACTACTGTCAGTGTTAAAGATTTGTCAATTATCAAGGGTTTTGCTAGATGTTATCATTATAAGGACTAGTGGACAACAATGTTAGTTTCTACTGCAGCCTGTGCAAGCAGATTACAGTCATTGGTTCATGATGTTTCTTCTAAAATATGAGTCGATTGAAAAGTTCAAATAAACAGATTTTCCAATCACCATCGTGTTCACTTCCTTTCACTTTACAAGTTTTAGAAGAAACTGCAATAAATAGTTTTCCACCAGAAACAATGACAGCATTTCAATTTATAACTCCTTCTATGGGTCTGTCAATACAGACGGAGATATTTTAATGTTTGTGATTCTTAAATCAGGTTTAAACTCAAATTTGAAAATGTGTAGATTTTAGGGTTAGGAATATGTCTTCCATGTGAAATCTAGTTTGACCAGAAATGACCAGTTTACACTAAGCCACAAAAGGTGACAGCTTGACTGGTATTGCTGTTGATGGTAGATTTTAAAGTAGCAATATACCATATTAACCAATCAGTCTTACGTTAATTTCGGAACCTGTTGGCATCTTTCTATTAATCAGATGTAAGCCTGGTGATATGGAAATAGCAGCTATTGAGTCGATCGAAAACAGAACAGTCCCTAAATCAAATATTAAAACTGTATATAATCATGGCCACTAGTGATATTTACCCTCGCGCATTTTCTGATCGAGTTCATCCAAAGTAGGTTCGATGAGTTCCCATCCATCTGGGGGAGGTTTCCTGCTTCTCTTTACCTTTGGCATGTTGATCTAAATGTGTTTTCAGAACGTAAAACGACTGCCAATATAATCTCGTGGAATAACGTGTGAAACCGCAATCGTCCAACTTCGCATTTCTCCGTGAGAAGGGAGAAATTGATTTTTTTAAAATAGCGTATTTTAGAAGTTTGCTTTCCAGAATCAAATATAAGAGAAATTTAGTATTGTTCGACAATATGATATATTTATTTGTTTCTTTCTTCTTCTTACAAGAAATGTTACAAAGAAACGTCACGCTACGAAAATAATTTTCCAAAATAACTTATGATCCCTGTAGATGGCGCAGTAGTTCTTCCGCCAGTAAGGGTGCTTGTTGACTCAGAAGTCCTGCAATATTTTCAGAAATAAGAACAATGCCAAGAGGTATACGTTACGCCATGATAGGCATTCCTATTCTTTACATATTTCTCTTTGTAAAGTTTTAGATACGGAATCGTTATTGCTGACGTTTTCACTCATATGAGTTACCAAATGGTGACTGTAAAATCGTGCAGTTGTGGCTCATGAACACATGGCTTATTGAGAAATCAAACCTAGAGCTTTTTATTTAAAAAAATATATTTAAGATTCATACAATTATGGCTGTTATCTTTTGGTTAATGGAGACTAATTTCACGTAACTCTATGTGTCCAAATAATGCAAATGTCATCTGAAAAAAATGTCCGTTTTTCTTCTTTTCTTTTCTTTTTCAAAGTAAAGGAAAAGTTCCTGAATAACAACTACTTATTATACTGTAATAGCAACGTTTAGGTATTGATCCTTAAGGATAATGATTAAAGTATATATATACCTGGATGTCGGTATTACAGTATTATATTATAAAGAAGTTGTTATGCATAGTCTTTGTCTACTTTGTCATCCATTCAAAGTCTGTGGGCCTACCTTTAGAAAACGGTGCCACAAACTTTTCAAACATGCCACAATACCTAATTTTGTACTGATCTGGGTTGTAAGATCTGGGTTAGAATCGGTCTTCAGCAACCCACACTTGCTGTAAAAGACGACCATGCTTGTTGTAAAAGGATCGATCGGGTGGTCAGGCTCGCTGACTTGGTTGATGCATTACATCGTATCCCAATTGCGTGGATCGATGCTCATGATATCAATCACTGGATTGTCTGGTCCAGACTCAATTATTTACAGACTGGCGTCATATAGCTGAAATATTGCTGAGTCCTGCGTTTAACAACAAACCAACCAACCTAGTATTTTGTTGCCAGTCACTATCGTAACGATGGCCTGTGACGTCAGGGGTCATTGAGTGTGCATAGGCTCCTTTCAGTGATCTATCATCTCTATTCTCTATATGCAATGTCACCGAATAAGCCCAGTGATGTTGAGAGTTTTGAGTATTTGTTCAAATACTAAATACAGCCTGCAACAGCGCATTTTATAGCAAGCCCTAGTGTATGAAAGCACTTTTATTTTCAATATGTTTTTAATTTCTTTCTTTTTCTTATTTCAAGTGGCTGAAATGATTAAAAGTGGGAACTATATTACATATATTATTTTTGTCAATTCATTAATTTTCATTATAATGCACAGGAATGCAGTTTATTAGGTATATTATGTTAGTGCTGAACACATCTTAATGTTGCTGGTGTTAGGGTAGGTTACCACAAACTCTATCCTTAGACCTGGGGTCCCCTTTATGATCAATCACACCTTATGATCATTAGGGTTAGGTAACTATTGTGTGGGGATTAGGTTATCCAAACTCAATCCTTAGCCCTTCATCGTGCTTTTTCATTGCAACTGTCGTAGCAATTTTGTCATTATTTCTACATATCTCTGTTAAGACAATTTATAAAGAAACCTTTCAACCACATGTCTCCAAACTGGTTAAATGGTTTAAATCATTTTTGAATTGGGGGGGGGGAGTAGGTTTAACCTTTCACCCACAGACCCCCAAAAGTGCTTTGCCCAGGATCTGACCGAGGCCTGTGGCCCCTAGACCCTGGCTAATATACATTGCACTCATTGAATACATTTGGGGTTTGACAACTATGTTTTCGTTTTGCTTTGCCAAGTTGTTAATTTTCGGATAATTGCAATTTTGGGTTATATTATGCCTGTCAAATTTTCATACATCAATAATTCTATGTCTCATACCTTGGCCACAGAGTAACAATGAATATCAACTTGACATGTTTTTAAGTAAGAAACAATTCCCCAATTTGCTGGCCTGGACAGAAATACAAGGTTTTAAAACAGCACTCACCCTGACTAGCTTTCATGGGTGAAGTTACAACTTTGAGCCAACCATTATTCTTCAGATTGATATTGAAAAAATGTCTGTTTTCATGGTGCTATTTCTAACCAGTACAATTTGATTGACAGTTTATGAAGCATGCACATTTACTTTTGTAAAAAAGGAACTGTCTGTAAACAATTTCCAGTCTAGGGTTACCTGATGCAAGTAATGGTATGTGTGGAACTTAAAAATGGTCTTTTTATAATAAGCATGATAAGAGCAGTTAGTAAATGCCACATCAATCTGTGCCAAAACCTTCAGATGCTACTCTTCCCAACTTAGCTCTTACTGGTCTTAGCATAAGTTTGAGTTGATTTTAGTGTTATTATTTGGATTATTTCTGAGCTTACTCATCTTCCTGAGGCAAGGCTGTTAACGGTAATTGACTACAAAAGTCCAGTTTTTCCCCTTGTCGAACTGCACTGGAATTTCATGGCTCGATCGTAGCTCCACCAGTGCCTGTTACGAATTATATACGTTAAGTATGTAAACACAAGGCTTTAGAAAAAAACCAGGTGTGCCCAAGGGCACTGGACCTGTTTTTGACATGTGCCATTATCAATTTAGGTGTGCTTTGTTCATATTACCCATATAAGTATGACAAAAGGCAGCTTATCCATTAGATCATTTCTTTCATGACATACTATAAGTTGTATCGGGATCACGAGGGGTACATGGAGTTTTATGCATCCCACGTTAGGTTCTATGCCACACAAGCTATGTCACTTGACTTCCTCTGATTCAGAAAAAGCATGCAGCTTTTCCTTTGAAGCAGGGTTTGATAAGAGATTTATTTTGCCTCTTACAAAACCACATGCAGCCTGACTTGCTCGTGGCGGGGTATAAGGGATTTATTCGCCCGCTGAGAAATATATTCCCCTCCTAGGCGGGATACATCATATTTTATCAAGATCACGTGGACCAATCAGATCTCATCAATGTGGTTATGTCGTATGGTACAGAGAGTTACTGGTTGACCATACTCTTTGCAAATTCTGATCCCTTTCACATATTAACCACAGTTTGTAATTTGGGAATAACTGGGAATAACTTGTTGATTTCTGTTTAGATAATTTTAGCTTTGGTTCATCTGTACTATCACACGTGTCAGTCGGCATTAAATATTTGCTTCTCAGGGATGTTTTTCAATTCTAATATTAGCACTAGCACTCGGCTGTATTAGAAGTAACAGCAGTAGGCTTGAAGAAATAAATAAATTGGGATTTGTTTTGTCTTTTTTTACTCTTCCAATTTGACGAACAGCGATCGTTTGCTAGGTGTTCTTCCATTTGAAACACTAAACCTACGTAATATTTGTGATATTCCATTAAAATATGGAAAAAAGCGAGTACATTCAAATGTATTTTGTGCAATCTTGAACATCTCGTCAAACGTCTGTAAGATAGTCAACAGTAACCACCAAATAATGCCATTTGATTTTACAAGAGGCAGTCGTCTATAGAGAGTGGAACATGCAACTAATGGGGGAAACTCTTTTCACTCTACTGTTTAAGCTTGTCAAGACAGGCTGTAAAAATCAACTTAAGTCCTTTTAATAAAAATGATAAAATTTAAGTGTGCCATTTCCTATTTTATGTGTGCTGCAGCCACGGCGTCCCTTGTAATTTTGAGCCCTTAAACATTATGGTGGCATATCTACATGTTCCTGTTCAGTAGGAATAGATCAGATGTTATTTTTCATTTTTGTAGCAATATCACTCGGGGTGTTATTTATGCAGTTTTATATGTCCCTTATTAGGTTTAATACCATGAGCTAGAGGCTCCTGTCCTACTCCGACGACATGGATCATTGCTCACAATATGGCTCACTGGATTGTCTGGTCCATTGTTTTGAGGTTGCTGTCACATATCTGGACTAAACTGAGAGCCAAATACCAGAGTTGTAAACGTTTGAGACCTGTATCACTTCAGGCCTTCCTCCCAAATTAAACTGCCATGCCAAGATATGACTGAAGTACTTTTCAAAGTGGTGTTAAACCCAACTAACTCAATATTTTTCAGGTAAAGGCGGCGGCGGGGGCGGGGGCGGCCGTGGTGGCAAAAAGAACCACAAAGGCAAGAGTCGCCACTTCACAGATCCTCGTGAGATGGAGCAACAGGATGAGAAAGATGCCAAAGCCAGAGAGTGGAGGGTGGGGGAAACATTTACTTCACACCTGTTTAGGAGGGCATGCAATCTCATTAAATTCAGATGTTTTACTACGATTCAGTAACTTAGCATTAAACATGTTAACATCTGACAAACCCTCCTCTGATCAGCCAAGCAGAGTGGAGACTTCAGAATGTTTGGTAAGAGTGAGCAAAGAATTTATAGCAGCATTCTGTATTTGGAATGGGCACTTCCATACGGACACATCTACACAAATTTCAGGGGAGTAAAGAAGGTAGCCATGCAAAAACTGAACTACGGTTTATGTTGAAAACATTATGACTGTAGTGGAGTGAGTCCATTTAGAAAGCTTACATTAACTCCGTATCCAACACATTCTTCCTTTGGATTAGATGGTGAAAGTTCCGGGGTAGCTTTAATTGTTCATTTATGTTTCACAACATACTTTGATTTTCCAGAAAAAGAAGGGCATAGAAGACAGTGATGATGAAGAGACGGAAGAAATAAACAAGCAGGGTGCTGTTGGGGAACTGCCACCCGCAGGGTCAGAGAGTGAAGAAGGATCATCAGAGGAAGAGGTGTGTATGAAAACTGATGCCAATTGCATCAGGTTTCAAGCCCATGTGTCAATCCACATGACTGGCCCATTGTCATTTCCTGTTTCTAGCCAGTTGTTAATTCACATTTCTTAGCTGTCATTATTTTCCATTCCTAGCCTTTTATGTGTTCTTGTTATCCCCCACCCCAACGAAGTTGGCAGGGGATATTGAAATGGGTTCTGTCCGTGCGTCCGTGCGTTCGTTCGTGTGTCCGTGCATCCCGAAATTGTTTCTGCTGTATAACTCGGAAACCGTTCAATATTTCTCTACGAAAATTTTCATGTGTATCAGACTCATGCAGACTTTTGCTGTTTAGGAATTTTAGAAATTTATATTTTTTACATTTCCATGACAACAAGTTGGACTTAAGTTCTATAAGGGTGGTGTTCATTTCCTGAACTTAACTCAAAAACTGTTATATACTTTCTTACAAAAATTTGCATGTTTACCAGGCACATACTGAACTGGTGCCTTTTGCTTTTTAGGAATTTTATCAATTTTATTTTTTATGTTTCCATGGCAACAAGTTGGACTTTGGTTCTATAGGGTAGAGTTCGTTTCCAGAGGATAACTCAAAACCCATTCAATACTTTCTAACAAAACTTTGCATGTTTACCAGGCACATACTGAACTGGTGCCTTTTGATATATATAGGAATTTTAGAAATTTTAATTTTTTACGTTTCCATGGCAACAAGTTGGACTTGGACTTTGGTTCTATAGGGTAGAGTTCGTTTCCAGAGGATAACTCAAAAAACATTAAATACTTCCTTACAAAACTTTGCATGTCTACCAGGCAAATACTGAACTGGTGCCTTTGGATATTTAGCACTTTTAGAATTTTGTATTGTTTATGTTTCCATGACAAGAAGTTGGAATTAAGTTTAAATATAGGGTGGGTTCACTTATGGAGTATAACAAATAGACTGTTAAATATTTCCTTGCCAAACATTGCATGTCTATATATAAAGCACATACTGAACTGGTGCCATTTGATATTAAGGAGTTTTAGAAATGTTTATTTTAGAATTTCCATTGCAGCTTTTTTTACATGGTCAAGGAGAAGTGTTGGGTCAGTTTCCTGGTTTGGGACCATAACGTGTTAAAATGGGCGGGGGATATAGATGACTTCGTCGACTATACGCTTGTTTAAGCTTGTTTTACTTACCATTTTAGCTTACTGTGCTATGTTACTGTAACTTTTAAGTGACATTCAAACAATATGATGTCCATTTCATCCTCACAATTTATTTCCTTTTTGCAGGAGGCTCGTCCTAAGGGTGTAGAACATTTGATAGAGATTCACAATCCAAACCGAACAGGAAACAAGACATCACGAAAAGTTACAGAATTAGATTCAAAAGCTTCAACCCAGCTGTCAAGGAGAGAAAGGTAGGGAATTCATTGTATTCATCCACCCATGACGATCTGGGGTAGAATAGGTCTTCAGCAACCCATACTTGTAGTAAGAGGCAACAAACGGGATTGGGTGGTCAGGCTCGCTGACTTGGTTGATGCATGTCGTTGTATCCCCATTGCATGGATCAATGCTCATAACAATCACTGGTTGGTCCAGACTCGATTCTTTTTATTTTATTTTTTTACCGTCCCATAGCTGAAATATTGCTGAGTGCAGGGTTTAACAAACAAACTTTATATTCATTATGTATAAGATGTTGTTTTTGTCAGAAGTAAATGGTGTTATTGGGGACAACCGTTCGAAGTGAATCATCCTTTAGTCTCACATCTGCTTGACCCTATGTTTAAAGTAAATGCATAATTTAAACATGCCTAAATACTACCACCATGGGCAGTCAGTGTGCCTTAAGATCATGTTTCATATTTTATGTTTAACACCTCACTCAGTAATATGGTCCAGATATTTTAATTTAATCACGTCTGGACCTCTCAATCCAGTGATTGATAGTTTCAACGATCAGTAAGTGAGTGAGTATGGTTTTACGCCCCTTTTAGCAATATTCCAGCAATATCATGGCGGGGGACACCAGAAATGGGCTTCACATATTGTACCTATGTCGGGAATCGAACCCGGGTCTTCGGCATGACAGGCGAACGCTTTAACCACTAGGTCGGGGTACGATACTCACCAAGCCTGACCACCTGATTCATTAAGTTGCCTCTTATGACCATCATAGATGGCTGGGAACAATTCTAACACTGAATCCCCATGATACACTTTCAGTAGTAAAACAACAGCACTAGTCTTTGAAACAATCATTGTTCTATCACACAAACTCTTTTCATGTTCCAGTTTATGACCCTTTTAGGGATTCGGGGCAGAATAGGTCTATGCCTTATGCAGTGTTGAAAAAAATGAAGTGCCCTTTGGGGCCCACTAGTGACTTTAAGGGGTCATTTTCTGAAATTGGGAGTCATTTTCAAAAATGTAGCTGCCGTCCTCGATAAAATAGCTACTCACAAATAGCTGAAACTGAGGACAAATGTTTTGTGAACTACTGGAATGTCAATTTGGGGTAAACAGGTCGGAACTAGGCTGTTATTGGCTGAGCACCAAATTCATGAATGGGAGCGTCTGCCTTCGAATTCCCAATGCAAGATTCGCTAAGTGACTTTGGTGGGAATTTGGTGGTCAGGCTATGTAACTGGTGGGAATTTGGTGGTAAGGCTATGTGACTTTGCTGACTTTGGTGGGAATTTGGTGGTAAGGCTTTGTGACGTTGATGGGAATTTGGTGGTAAGGCTTTGTGACTTTGCTGATTTTGGTGGGAATTTGGTGGTAAGGCTATGTGACTTTGCTGACTTTGGTGGGAATTTGGTGGTAAGGCTATGTGACTTTGATGGGAATTTGGTGGTAAGGCTATGTGACTTTGCTGACTTTGGTGGGAATAGCTGGATTATTGTTGACTGTGGTTCACAAAATTCATTCAATTACTGTAACGACGACCAATGTGGGATCATAATGCATGACCTTATCATTGGCAAGGCAAAGAACTGATAATTGGGCATATCAACCACTTGGTTGTCCGGTACAGACTCTTTCCCAGCCACTGTTGTGTAGCTGTTACATGCTGACTGTTTGTTCACTGTTTGTTCACTGTTTGTTCACTGTTCACTGTGTGCTGGCAGGGAGGAACTGGAGAAGCAGGAAGCTGCCCGGCGGTATCAGCAGCTGCATGAAGAAGGCAAGACTGAGGAGGCGCGTGCAGATCTTGCTCGACTCGCCCTCATTAGAAAACAGAGGGAAGAAGCAGCAAAGAAGAAAGAGGATGAAAGATTAGGTTGGTACAGTTTGTTCGGTTTCCATAAACTAAATTTTGGCTGTAGGATTGGGAAGTACTATTAACAACAAGACGTGGACATATTTTTGCCCAAATAAGCACCCACCCTATTAACAACAACACTTGGCCATATTTTTGCCCAAATAAGCACCCACCCTATTAACAAGAAGACTTGGCCATACTTTTGCCCAAATAAGCCCACACCCTATTAACAAGACTTGGCCATATGTTTGCCCAAATAAGCCCCACTCTATTAACAACAAGACTTGGCCATATTTTTGCCCAAATAAGCACCCACCCTATTAACAACAAGACTTGGCCATATATTTGGCCAAATAAGCCCCCACCCTTAAAATGGCTTCTTTGTTTATGTGTGAAATTTGACTTCTTTTCAAAACTCAAAATTCAAAACTCAAAAACAGCCATGTTGACTTTCCTTTTTAAAACACTGAATCTTAAAAATATGTAAAATAAGTCTTCCCAATTACTGGTACATGTTTTGTATGCATGTTAATATTATGAGCCAAATAATATTTTCACATTTCATTTCCTTTTTCAGCTAGAGAAGCAGCGAAGAAACCAGCCAAGTCTTGACGACCTGCTGTATAACAACTCATGAATTGTTCTTTATGATTCAGTTAATGTTATGAAGTATACCCAAGTACTCAATCCAGTCTGTAGATGCATGATCATACCCATAAGTTGCTTCATTGCATCTCATCTCACAATACGTTGTTGCCACTATCAGTTGCAGCTTGGCACTGAGACTGTTGTGGTTCTGATTACCCAGCCCCGAGGACCCAAATGATTCCTTCTTCCTTCAGTATTGTAAAGACTCTGATCTCCTACATTGCCCATTTCTGTTTTTCAGCACCATATTAGTGGTGCTTGCTTTCACTAAAACAATAATGTCTATGACCTGCATCACTTTCGGTTTTACTCCCCCATTAAACAGCCTGCAGCGATGACCACCCCCATGCCTAATGGTTCTCTACCGACAAGGAAGTACTATGAAATATACACCTAGGAAGCAGTTAAGTACCACTTAATATGGAAATATATATAATCATATCTTGTGTTAACTTTCTGATGAAACATTTGTTTTTGTGTACAAAGTCACATATAGATAAACAGAAAGCCAAATTGACTCTACAATGACATGTTTTTGAGTGTTCCATGACAAAAGTTATTTGACTACCTTTCCAATTGCAACCTCTGCTTTTTAACATCGTGTGGTGGGATCCAGTCCTTGTGTACATACAAGGAATATTGTGTTCTTTTACCAACTTTACATCATGTAGCAGTTGTGTCTTAGACGTTTATCAAAACAAGGTCAATGTCATACCAGTATGTACATACTTCCAAAAGTACATGCAAGTTTGGAATACCGGTATAGGAAAATAAAGCTATATGTATCATGATGGAAATAGAAAAAAGTACATCGCAGAAGCAAGTTTTCTGTTGCAGTCGATTTAATTTTTCATGTGAAACAAAATAAAAGGAAACTGTTAGTATTTGTCAAAACATTGTCAGCAAATTCGTGCTCCAACAAACAAATAAGAGACCCATGTAGACCTAATGCCTTCCTTTGTATGTGTGCCCATGTTTCCATGTGTGTATGAAAGACAGGATATGAAACCCACATCTCTACCATTGTGAGGAGAAAGTTGTGGACACCCTTATCTTGGCTTTCATTTGATCAGAACCACAACATTGTATTATGCCAGGCATCAATTCTGATGCATTGTATTTATGAAAGGTCCAAATTCAAAGGTAACTTTAACGACTTGAAGACGTCATATAAACTCTGTATGATCTAAACATACGATACCTTCTAAATAATATCTACCGGTATATAAATACTGTATTACTACATTACTAAAACTATATTGTTGTTTTTTTGACGACTGTACTTGTAATTTTGAGACATGTATATATACAAATTCACATACATACCTGTTTGATAATCCTCCGATCTGTGTGGAACGCAAACTGTGCCTGTTTTTGGCCCCGAGTTGGTCTTGTGATCACAGGGGCCTAGTGGATGGTGACACTGGTATTGAATTAAATTGAGGCTTGAATTTGCATTTTCTTACTAGAAAAACATGTGCCAGAATTTCTTTTTATTTATTCTTTCTTATCTGCACTTATAAAATGAGAGGCAAAAGTAGGTTCTAATCCTTGTTATTCTTATTGTTAATCGACTACTGGATATATTTTCAGGGGATTCTGTAGCAATCCATTGTTAGTTCACAGGTTTATATAACATATGTTTCTCCATCACCTGTGAATACATACAGCTGCTATGCAGTGTAGTCAGTTTTTGAACCAGGAAATAAAGTAGAGAGATGGGAGGACAGCGATGACCTTTGCTTACATCACATCTACTGCATTGTTTCTTGCTTGACATGTGCCAATACCTTGTGGCTGCCTGCCTTACACACTGAAGCAAGGTCGGGTTTGCACAGCATGAGGCTCATTTCAACCTGAGTTATGCACAGCGTCGTTTCATCAGCTTATAAAATAAGGTGTGTCATCACAACACTGCAGTGGTCATGTGTATTCATGGGTGATGGAGGCACAAAGTGTATACAAACATGGGAAGTATCGACGATGGTAGCAATCTAATAGATGCTTTCTCAGGTCTTGGAGAAATAGGATAGCAACCGTCACAGAAGTGAAGGAATTTCGTAGATTTAACCTTAAAGTACCCTTGAAGGTGGGTCTGCACCAGTCTGTAATTATTACATTGTTTAATATGAGGAATAATGTGCTATGATATACCACTTTTATTTGATATATGTATTGTGAAATATGCAATGTCTTCAATGAAATTACAACTTAAAACATTGTGTTTTGTCTTAATTCACTTCAGTGTGGTACAATAGTAGGGCTGGGACGGGTAACTCGGGTACTCAGGTTGGGTGGGTACTGAGGAGGACCCAGGTACCCACAGGACTACCCAGACCCTTGGTTAGTCACGTGATATATTGTTTAATGACAAAAAGTATCTAAAACTGTTTAAACTACAAGTCACTAATGTTCGCAGTTCTTCCTGACTACTACGCCCATTCCTTCTGACTTTTTTGTTTGAATAAAAATAAAACTTCAGTGTGTACACCAGATCGTTTCATACATATACTTAAACACATTTTACCAGAGCTACGGTCAAACTTTTCCCAATCAAACAGTTTGTATCTTCCTCTTGAGACCTGCAGCGGGTCCCGGGTAGGGTCGGGTAATAGGGTGTTGGGTACCCAGGTAGTAAATTTGACAGTGCGACTTAGACTGTAAAAATAATTGGACCTGTTTTGTGCTTTGATGTTTTATGAACTAAACCATATCTGCATATTTTGAGAAGTCTATCATAGTGTGACCAAAAGATGAGATGTAGACCCATGTATAGGAGTCTTGTCAGTTCCATAACCACAGGTGTTTGCAAATACTTGTGAAACAAAAGCAGACTCTCCTCCATAATTTCCTCAAATCTTCTAAAGTGTTTAAATATCACAATGTATTTCCAGTCCAAAAACATTGCCTCAAGATCCAACAATTACTTAGTCTCAGGAGTGCAGCAGTAATGATACCACCATGTTTCACAATAACGTCAACGATGAAACTCACCTTTAGTGTAAGACTTGATGCATGAAAACATTTTTTATTGACTAGATAATACATGATTTAATACTTTTTGAGAAGCTGGCATGGCAGCCATATTGAAAATCAGATTTGAGTGTCTTGACCAAATTGGTATGTCATTGGTGAGAACAAGCATGTGAGGTTTCAGCTTCATTGATCTAGTGACATGAAAATTCATTTTGAGACAAAGATTAAAAAAAACCAAAACATCTTTGAGCCTCATAACTAACAACAAATATATGTACATTTAAGAACTGACTTAATCAAAATTATGGCAGCCATATTAAAAATTGGATTCGAACCTCTTAAAGTGTCATCATTTCAGCTTCATTGGTCCAGTTAATGTGTGTGAAATCCTCCATGTCATCCAATCATTAGCCTATGGTATGAGGGGATATAAAGGCGTCTCTACATGTTCTTCTGTATTACAACAGTAGATGGATATTTGCAATTTATTTTCTCCTCAAACCCAGCAGCTGGAGAACCAAGAATCCATGGTCATTAAAAGAAGACAACACAAGCAGGTCATGATTTAGAATATTTAATTTAATACATACAGTGAGTGAAATATGCCCTTGCATATCTACATCACATGATTGGTACTCACCATTGACACAAACTGAGAAATGTACAATCAACAGTTTCCTCCAGGACGGATGTCCAGCCAAACTGCTACAGGATACTCAAAACACTTGACAATCCAGATACTGGTACACAATTGGGTAGTGCAGGATAAGAGCGTATACAACATTCCTCTAGGGATATATGACAAGGGTTGGTAATCGCATCTAACTAGCCTTCACCCCTCTTTAAATGGTAGCTTTTTCTAGCCACCTACAGCTTTACTCATTTAGATTCAACGATCATGCAAATGGTAGGTAGCTTAAATGGCATAAATAGTCTTTAATAATACTGTAAGGAGACAATGGCGATATTTTTTATTGAAACCACTACATTGTCTTATGTAAAATATTTTAAGTATGAAGCTAACAAAATGATTTCAGAAAGAACAGTTCCTATTCAACTTGAGCAGAATTTTATTTGATATGTTGCATTTTGTATAAAAATCAATGTAATCAACTTCCCACAAACGACTCTGCAATTATAAGGTAGCAAATACATATTGTATATGAAAGAAATATGTACTTTACAATAATAAAGTCACTATGAGAATGGGTATGTGACTTCAAGCAAATATAATCGTGTCGTAGGAAACACTCATGACCAACTCAGGCAAGACAGCTATCAAGAAAGGAAATCTCAGAACTGCTGAATACAATATTTCACCAAAACCAGTTGGAGTTATGATTAATGGAGATATGACAGCTGCAGAGGAAAATATCAAGCCCAGCCCAGATAAGGGAGCAACTCGTCAGATAAACATCAGGTCTGCAAGTTTTCCTATCAATATTTACTCCTTTAACACTATTTACTTAAAGAGTAAATCTCCAATCATCATATACGTCTTTGAAAACAGACAGCATCACTTGGGTAGAATGAAATTTGATACCAAAAAGATCATGAAACTTCTACTGAGTTGTGTTACGTTCAGTGGAATTTCCAAACCATAGAATGCATTATTTTATTTAATCCAACATCAATCTTTTGAATTGCTCTCTAATCCAGAGACAGGACACGGTGACATAATCAGTCTGGTCCTAGCTAACACCGTTCTTCCATGATTTACATTTTCCCATATAACTTATTCTGCTCTCCAGTCATTGTCAGTAGCTGTTACCTATTTCAGTAAATGGTACTGGGCACATATTCGACTTCAGAGTCCCTAGGGGATCTCGGGACAGATCATACCTCATGATGCCCACATCATTCTTTGTGTGCAACAGATGCTCATATACAAAAACTGATAACACAGATCCATAGGAGCTAATAGGGTTAAATATTATCCAGTTGATAGAATAAGAAAAATGCAGAATACAGCAATGAATCTTCATGGCAGAATTACGACAGTGGAGAATGTAGATGGGCGGATACAGAAGCGACATTGACCATGTTCATACCTAATCAGATCAAGACTAACCTGCAAACAAAATATCACTCTTCTTAACATCTGAAGTGAGGGAGCTATTTCATGTCAGTCAGTCTGTAAATAATCAAGTCTGGACCAGGCAAACCAGTCATGTGTGGGCTTATCACTGCTTTGAACAGTATTTCAGTTATTTACATGGTGCGTCAGCTTGATTTGGGGGGAAAGCGCACAGTGATGCAGGGACGACCAGTATGGGGAGGAAGCAGTTTCTCCAGGTTCGTTAGGAGTTTGCAGACAAACTTGAATGAAAGGGTGATCTGGGTCCTAACTCTTCTGTATCAAGCATTACCTTGAAGGTGGAGAGGCCAAAGTGATGCAGTTCACAGACATTATCACTTTGGTGTTAACAAGAAGCACAAATATTGTGTTGGCCAAGGAGTCTTACTCATGGTGAATCTGCAGAGAATTGGAGGGTCAAGTATTTGTGTACATTGGTGGAGGGATATTTGTGAGAATGCCAGCTATCTCACAGAGAAACTGCACCACAGGTGTCTGACACCCAACTGTGAGTGAGCGTGTTGGGTTCAAAACTGCTTTGAACAGTGTCTCAATCATATCACACCATTTCTGCTTAATGTGGGAGAAAAGCTCCAAACGTAGACATTTACTACACAAGAAGCACAGGTATTGTGATGACAAACCACGGATAACAATTTCAACCCCTGTCCAGCAAATCTTGGCAGGCGAAAGGAGTAACTTAGACCAGTATATTAACGAGATAGGACAGTCAATTACTTACACTATACACACGCATCTTTGCACTAGTCATGTAGTCAGCAATACTTCCTTATTATACACTGTGGAGGAAGCTGTGGTATTAAAGCATGCATACAGTACAAATAGGACATTAAACATAGTTAATAAAGCTTTCGAATTGACATACCTTTAAACATATGTGCTGGTCCAAATTCAGAACACTTAATTTTTTTTAAAGATAGGTTTTTAATAAATCATATTTTGGGCATGAGGTTTAAATGCAATAATGTCATAGCTGTGGTGTTCCTAAATTTCCATCAGCAATAAACAACCTGTTCTAAAATGGGAATTAGTTCATTATTTTTTTACATCCAATGCCATATTTTTCACGATTTATCATTTAGTCTATGATTTTAAGATGAACCACTTCATACTAGTGCACGATAATGTCCCTAACAACCCAGTTCAAGTCATACACAAAACCATACCAGCAGCATCCTCATCTACCGGTTGACTAGTATTTACATGCTGAAGCCTACCACGGTTGAAAAAAATCAATGTAAAGTCTTTGTTCTCTTAAGAAGATTTTGCATCTTGTTATTGGACCACATGGACCTCTGTGAACCCTGTTTGAAAAACCGCTTGGTGACACAAAAATAGATAACAATTGTACCATCAGTACCAATAAACAGCTTAGTAAAAGTATCATCAGATTTGTGAAGACTAAACCTTTCTGTCATCATATCTGCACAGTGACCTGCCCAATGTAGGGGAGGAATCAGAAACTGTACACGAGACCGAATCAAACCAAACAACACAAGTTATGAGAATATATACAACTCAATAAAGAGAAAGAACACCCATTTGTTTTTCATATGACAATTGTTAATCTGTCATATGAAAACATTGGGTGTTCTTTAACTACTTTTGAGTAGTATATCTTTGGTACTATGTTTCTGACTATCACAGCTACTGTTAAACTCAGCTTTGCCTCAAAAGTCTCCGACACCAACAACTTGCATGAAACCAGGGCATGGTGTTGACAGAGGGACCATCAAAATGAGGCAAATCTAAGGGATGCAAATCTGCATTAAGCACTGTCCATCATGCCAACTGATGTTCTCTGTATATATCTGTGGTGACAATTTCACTATCACAATTTCAGTAGTATATACAACTGCTGCTCATGTAATGTCAACACATAATTTCACAAATCTATTATTAGTGTCTGTTAAACTGAATGCTTGTGTCAGTCAGAAAACTGCACTCCCTGTTTTTAAGTAGATCTCCGATATTGTCATCTTGCTCATGTTTAAAAACTAAAAAAAAAAAAATTCTGAAAGAGGATTATAATGTAAAAATCTCCTGATCAGAGGAAAACAAATGCACTTCTTCAAGCAATCTAACATGTATCCCTAACTACTGGACTGTTTAAGACATTTTGAGGACTTGAATCTGAAAGATTAAATTGGACACCCTAAATATTTAATTTTTAACATTAGGTCTATGACAAGGGCCCCAAAAATTGTGTGCTTAATTTTGGTAATCATTTGATGGCCCATGCATATCCATGATCTTGAGGATTTTGGTAAAACCCACTCTGGTGCCGACAGTCCAAGAATCATAATATGGGCTAATTTGTATTTAGACACATGACCAGCAGATCCTGGTCAATAGGGGGGACAACTCTGTACATCCAGTTGTAGCACCTTAGACCACAGCGTCCCGGTGCTTTCTGTTTACCATCTAATGTAATGATATAACAAAAAACATTTTGAAACCAAGTAAAAATGTTTTTCAGATTGACACAAAGCCCAATCAAAGCAGTATCACAAGCTAGGCAGGGATCCACTTTCACAGAGATCGATGCTCTGCCAACTGTACAAATGCTGACTAATATCACACACAAGTGGACAAGTAGAGATGAATGCTAACACCAACTGTACAGCAATCAGTTGTATTTGTGATACAAAGGTATAACGCTATGGTAACACAGCATTCATTCATACATCAACAACACCTGGGAAAAGGTTCAGCATTTTTTACGACATTTTCATATAAAAAAGCTATTCCTTAAAATAGTATCTGGAATCATTTTCTGATGGAACTCTAATATTGTGTCATTCGTGACCAACTCGTGTTATTCTGGGACAAGTCGAATAGCGACTTGTGCCCCTCTCATGGCCATTTTTGCGACCGGGTTCTGTGTTAGCGCAAACGGGCATACTAAAAACAATTGTCAACTCGTTGCGCAATGGTTCACATATATTTCCCCATATATTATATATATTTCAGGTGCAATTTAAAGCACATCGGGACATGCGGATTTATACAGTTTGATTGAACACACTTAACTGTGTCTTGGGCATATTTTTAGATGCAAGACATATGAAAAATCAAAAATTATTTCTGAGGGATTCTTTGACGAAGAACTTGAAATCATACACGCATTCCGATTGGTTTGTCGTATTATCACACATAACATTCATCGATAGGGGGCGAGTCTTCTTGCAGGTTACGGAAAGGGGTGAGTGGTGACGAATGATATTGTGTATGCCACATACTCATATTGAAACAGAAACCGAAACTGATAAATTAATGGCACTTTTTGTAACTGTTCCATGGCAATATTTGACTACCCCTGCAATTGTTTCTGTGATTGTACTTGTGATCATCTGGTCAAACAGTGTGCTCCTGCTACTGACTCAGCTAGTGGTGGTATGTCAGACATATCAAAAGTGATCCATGCCAAATGCAGATATTTCCAAAGATATGATAGGTTGTGACATGAAAGTAGGGGATATTCATCACTCTGGCCCAGGTGTATATTTACAGCTGTACTGTTGTATGAACAATACCCTGACATTTCATATACACAACCTGACAATACTTCTTCTAAGGCCACAACAAAACATTGTTTGTTGGTATCTTAGGTCAAACGCAAGGAGGAACTAACTGGCTTTCCACATCGCCGTGCAAAGCTTCCAGTTCGTATGGTTATATGTGTCGGGTAAAAAACAATTTGTTGAGGAGGCACCATGCACAATTACTCAAAACCAAAACAAGCTTGCCATAGTGTAGGACAATATGATTCTGATCATTATGTCACCCCAGAAGACTTTAAGTAGAAATTAGTATACAAGGACTGATGGACGATGACAAAAACCCACTTGTACAAAGGGATGTTAGTGCTACGACTATTGTAAGCCTATGTTAAAGTATGGGTGTTATGATAATCTTAGCGCTTAGAGTGCTTCGTGCAAGTGGGCCCAGAAGGTGTCCTCCAAATGAGGCCATTCCAACAGACATAACAGTTTGCTGAGGCTGTACCACAGTCCAATTTTGGTGTATCAAGACATGTATGAGTGAAAGGCTCTTGTGGCTGTTCTGTACCATATCGCAACCCTTAGGTGTCACTATAACTTGACTCTGTCGTCATCATGTAGAATACTATAGCAAACAGCTTCATGTAACAACAACCAGCACATGTTCAGTCTATACAAATCTTCAGCGTCAAGACAAATGTGGAACGCAACATTGTTGACAAATACACACATGAAAAGAAACAAAAAATTGTACACATGGTTTAAGGGGAGGCAAGGGAAGGGTTACATATTCTCATTTACCTTCATTTACATACATTTGCTACACTGGGTTTGAACTTAATTTTAAGTAAAAACATATAACAAATAAAAAAATCTGAAAGCAAAGGGTAAAACATATTCTCAAACAAAACACAGAACATGAAAGTATCTAAAATGCACATTATTTCAGCAAGTAACAAATAAAAAAAGTCAAATCTGTGCATTGTTAGATTTGTGACAAAAAAGGATTGCCTCATTAGAAATGTTCACAGCCATACAATCCCTTCTTTCCTAACCAGGTAACAATTTCATCAAAATCTTTGTCCATTCAATGTATAGTGGAGATATTTGGTTGAAACTGCTAGACATACATACCTTTATATCTTACCCAGCATAGCAAACATACATACACCAACACATGATCAAAATACAAATATGCTCAATCATGCTAGTAATGCCAATATTTCAATTTTCAAAATAGTGGTACCAAACATTTTGCAATAAATACCTTGACACATGATAAATATTATCATACATGTCATTTTCACAATTCTTTATACAACAAGTCAAGAACGCAGCACAGAAAAGAGTATAATTGCAGTGTCAAAGAATCTGAATTACCAACTTCTACATTACTAAAACCTGAACATCCAATGTCATTTGTGGCCACTACAAAACATTTCAACTGTTAGTTGCACAACATCCAGGTAGCATCGTGGGAATCAGTGTCTGTAGGCATGACGATCCCGGCTGTACGAATGACTGTAGTATCGGCCTGCGTGGTCACCATGGTGGTCATAGTTTCGATGCTGCGAGTGAGGCTGGCAACTGTCCGTGTTAAACCATGACTGTAATGAGACAAAAATCGTGATTTCGGCCCTAAAATGTTTATATTTAAATTAATCCAACCAAAAAGGTATTGGCTAGAAAGCTCATAATGTTTGTTACTGAACGAGATGTATTCGGCACAGCATTGCAAGAAATTAATCACTGTTAATGTTAAACACAGTGTGGCAGCTTACAGAGAAGTACAAAATGCCATGGGTTGTAGGTTGGTTGGTTGGTTTGTTGTTTAACGCCGCACTCAGCAATATTCTAGCTATATGACGGCGGTCTGTAAATAATCGAGTCTGGACCAGACAATCCAGTGATTGATATCATGAGCATCGATCCACGCAATTGGGATTGATGACATGTATCAACCAAGTCAGCGAGCCTGACCACCCGATCCCGTTAGTCGCCTTTTACGACAAGCAGTCGCTTCCATGGGTTGTAGACATGTAACACTTTGGCCCTGACACAAAGGATCATTATAGTGGGAACTCTGGAATTTTAACCCACGACCATCAAATTGTAAATGATCACTAAAATGTCACTTCAAATTCCCTGTTAACAAAATCCCTGTGGTTTGAATGATGTCATTGGGCCGATCATGTTGAGAACTGATTGTCACTTTGCATGAGCACATTGGAGTATTAACATTCATACTGTTTGTTTGTTAGTTGCCCCGCTCACAGCAATATTCCAGCTAAATGACTGCAGCCTGTGCTGAATGAACCTTCACAGAGTTGTGCCAAACAGTATACACTGGGAGCTTGCAACCTGCAGTGTTTGTCATTACGAGAACACAGTCTTGTTAAAGACGCATCAGTTTAAAAATGGGTTACTCATACACTTATAAACTCAAATGACAAATAAGGATATCATGAAACCATCACATTCAATGGAATTGCAAGATTCATGATAGAGGAATAACAATAAACATTCTCGGGGCAAGCGAGTTTACTGACTATGAAAGTCCAGTTTCCACTCTTGCCGAACTAAGCTGGTATTATGGAGTTACAATTTGGCTGGACCAACGAGTCTGTGAATAGTCAGATCAAAATCACTTAACGAAATCAACCCCTGGTTCGTAAACTTCAGTACAGATTTCAGACGACTGCAGAATTTGCGTGTTTTTAACGAAGGTGCTCAAATAGTTTGATGCATTTTGCGAGGTAAGACCCATTTTATGACAATAAATATCACGCGTATCGATCAAATTGTTTGACTGGGCGCCACCATTTTGATTGGTTAGTCGAAGGGACATAGAAGGGAAGTAACTCGTAATAGTCACTGGTGGCGCTACGATCGAGCCATGGAATTCCAGGCTAGTTCGGCAAGGGTGGAAACTGGACTTTTATAGTCAGTTACCTCCCTTGCCTCGGGAAGATGCCACCTCCTATCCATGCTGATAAACTGGGACATGGTGTCGAGCCTGACCCATTCCTTCATACCTTGCCTTTATTTCTGTCATCCTGCATCCGCTGGAAGGGGTTGCCACCGGCGTACAGTGGCTCAGGATGGAGTTTCTTTACCTTCTTTGTCTGAATGAAACAAACATCACATTTTAGAGAACAATCAAGAGAAACGAACACAGCTTGTTTTACTGCTTTTAGCATTATTTTACAGTATGTCTGTATGCTGAAAGCAAAACAAAGGTGATACTTAATGGATATGTTTGCCACTTTGGGAAAAACTACCAGCATCAGTATGTGGACACCTAAGACTCCAACTCTTAATGATGAAACTGGAGCCTGGTTTAGGCTTTTATAGGGCTCCTTGTGAAATTGTGATGCTGCCAGGAAAATACTGTGCTGTATCACTAGTTCACTTTACTTTAAAGTATGTGTGAACACTCCTCACCTTGCCCCTGTCAAGCTCATCGTCGTCATCGTCATTGTCCCAGTACCGTTTGCGGTCCCGCTCCTTGTCTCTCTCAGCCTGCTGGTCAAGTATACTTTGTTCTCCTTCCCATGACAATACTGCAATAGTCAAACACCATGGTTACAGGCTTTTATCTAGAACTTCAAGTTTGGGCAGGCAGATTAAGAACTTGTTTTGTTATTCCCAATTGGGACTTGTTTTAAGGTTTAGAGGTATTTTGGAAGTTTTACTTTATCTGCAGACATAGGTCTGAAAATCTTGCAAAGTCAAGTCACCTATTTTGTTTGTCCATCTTAGTTTTCAAATCTGGGAATCTTAACTGACATTTACTGCAGACTTGGGACCAAAACTCCCTGTAATAGGAACCCACTCTTCCACAGAATGTCCATGGGGTACACTAATGCTGACACTAGAACACTCCCCAACACTAACCTGATGCTCCATACACTCTACTGGATGACTGTTTCTCCAGTTCAGATGCCACCTTAGACGTCTTGGACCCATCCCAGAAGGTCCACTTGATCTTGCTGTCGCCCTCCAGTGTCTTCTTCCCGCCTTCCTTCATATGCCAGTCCCACGGCTGGCTCGGAACTGCTAGGAGGACAGATACAGTTAAGGTAGGAGCAAAAGAGCAATTGCTCTCGAGACCAAAATATTTCTAATGAACCTGGAGAAACTGTCACAGACAATTCTTCTGTGACATTTAATCTCCCCACGACAAACTCCTCTGGACAAATCTCCTATACATGAGTGAGTGAGTGAGTATGGTGTTAGCAATATTCCAGCAATATCATGGCAGGGGACACCAGAAATGGGCTTCACACATTGTACCCATGTCGGGAATCGAACCCGGGTCTTCGGCGTGATGAGCGAACGCTTTAACCACTAGGCTACCCGACCGCCCCTCCTATACATGAAATATGAACATGACCAAAGAGTGCTTCAAATCAAGCACAAAAGTCAAGGGGTCCTTGTCATAATCCCAGCATTGAAAGTTCAGAGATGTGGGGTCCCTAGATTCCAATACTATGGGAGAAAATCTCAAGGATCCTAAGATCCCCTGTATTTGGAAGACTGATAAAACACGCCTTGTATAACAAGCTAATAACCCTCCTGACAGATATGTACACAATCTCTTCTCACATACAATTCAAACTTATAAGGACATTCTTCATGTGGCTAGAAGTAAATCATTAGAGGCAAATGTTGCCCAAGAGAACCACAAAAGCAGCAAAATAACATACCTTCCTTCACACTTTGTTGGCTATCACCATTCTCTGCTGGTAGCGAGTCCTTGGTCTTTTCAACCCATTCATACTGATATTCTACCTCGTCCAGCTCTTGATGTTTCTTCCGTGGTTTGCTATCTTCATCACTCGACCGGTGTTTATGTTTCCTCTCTTTCTCAGAATCCTCCCGGTCTCGCTTGTGTTTGTGTTTTTTCTTCTTCTTGTGTTTTTTACTTGATGTCTCTGCAGAGCTGCTGCTCTCGTTCAGAAGCTCCTGGTACTTATATTCATGGTTCTTTTTATGTTTCTTATGTTTCTTATGCTTTTTGTGTACATGGACATCAGGTGTAGCAGACTCGGACAGCAGATGCTGCTTCTCGGACACATCCACATGGCTGCCGTTTGCAATGGCCGAACCGGAAGGGCTTGAACTTGCCGTCGAAGACTTCCCATTGACAAAAACATCATTCATGTGATCACCATTTGTCTTTTTGTGTTCAATCTCATGGCTCAATCTGTCAACAGTACCTACCTCAGGAACAGAACACTTGTCAAGTTCAGTATCACATATCCGGTGGTCCTTCTCAATATCGTCCAGCATATCCCCATCTCCGGCTATATGATTACTGACTTGAACCAACTCACTCCTTTGTCCCATCCCACCACCGCTGTCCCCATCCCCAATCTCTACCCCCTCAGGAGTCACTGTCCAGCCTACATGCTGTCGCTCTGGGACCTTCGCATACTGCAGAGCCTCGCTCTTATCAATGACATGCCACTCGGTGGTCGAGTTCACACTGTTTGTACTGGAGCAACTCCCCACTGATGGACTGGGAGCAGTGTCCTGGCTTTGTACATGCCAAGAGGATGTTGCATTAATTTTGGAAGTGGGAGATGTAACACAGGACAGCGAGTTACTGTCACTGAAAGACCTTTTCACAGGAGCACTGTGGGATTTATTCAGTTTTAATGTTAGGTCATGGGTGTTGGACTTGGGTGTAATCTCTCCTTTCTCTAAAGCAGTTTCTCTTTTAATAGCAGATTCCAACAGCTTTGAGTTCCCTGGTACTGATGTGGTGGCATTTAGCTTGCTGTCAAACACAACGCCATCGCCATCCTCAGGCTTCTGCCCACACTCATCCACCTTGGTGTCAGTGATCTTCTTCGAAATCAATTTTGATTTGTTTTCTTGATCTGAATCTGAATCCTCTCCATACGGAACAAGCTGAGATTTGGTTCTAGAACCACCATTCACCACTTTAGATTTGCCATCTGGAGATTTCTCCAAGGCCGTCACTTTTCCATTCTTGATCTGCACAACAATTCTAGGTTTACCATCTCCAGGCCCTTCTTGTGAGTGAGGTGGTTTGGTTAAGTTTGCTCGTATACCAAAAGAAACCTTATCACGTTTTTCTGGCAAGGGTGTACCCATTGGTTTTGGCACAAGTTTTGGTGTTCGTTCAGGTGTGCTTGCACAAGTAATATTCTGTTTCCTAGCAACTGGGGTTCCAATATCTGTACTTGTCTGGCCTGAATAATGGAAAAAGCTTTCAGTCACATTTTCATAATAACTTTGTACTTCATCATTCCATACAGTTAAATTAAGCACATGTCACTTGGTCAGTTGTTGGATTTGATGCGCTTTGACCAGTATTTAACATCAGAGCATGTCAGCTTACATAACTGATGTTGTAGGTCAGCCAAGATCAGTCGATCCTGGCATGACTAAGGGAGATAACTCTGCAGAGACATACTGCATATTAGATCACTGTTGTTTATTTGTTGTTTAACGCCGCACTCAGCAATATTCCAGCTATATGACGGCAGTCTGTGTAAATAATCATGTCTGGACTAGACAATCCAGTGATTGACATCATGAGCATCGATCCACGCAATTGGGATACAATGACATGCATCAACCAAGTCACCGAGCCTGACCACCCAATCCTGTTAGTCGCCTCTTATGACATGCATAGTCACCTTTTACGGCAAGCATGGGTTGCTGAAGACCTATTCTACCCCGGACCTTCACAGGTCCACAGCCAAAGTAGCAGACATAAGCATTTTGATCATAAACAAAACCAAAGTAGTAGCCAGTGCTAGAAAATAACATCTTTAGTCCACTAGGTCTTATGATAACATAATGCAAAACCCTTCAAAATGGTTAATTTCTACTGGTCCGATACCTTAACTATTGGGCAGTTATGCAAGGACTGTAGGAGTAGTACCAGTTTCTATCACTGAGACACAATCATTGTGTTCATAATTACAACCAATGTAGCAGACACAATCATTGTGATCCTAGTCACTCAATCAAAAGCCTGTAATACCACACATACCTCCATGGGTTCCATTTACGGTCTTGAACCTTGGCTGGTTGTTCAATGTGTGGTTTGCAGGCATTGTAGGGCCAATAAATCCAGTCTGGTATGGAAAATAAACATAGTTTTAGTTCTGATCTAAATACTAAATAGCACTGAAAGAAAACAAAATTTGACTGATGTACATTTGCATAAACTCATTTACAACAAATTAGTGTTTGCATAATTACATTTGCTTGTTCTTATAAAGTCTCTGGGAAAAGTACATCTTCCCGAGGCAAGTGAGTTAACTGACAATAAAAGTCCAGTTTATACCCTTACCGAACTAGGCTGGTATTATGGAGTTACATTTTGTCTGGACTAACGAGTCTATGTATAGTCCAATCAAATGAAATCAAGCAGATTTCGGTCGATTGCAGGGTTTGCAAAGCATGTGCACCACCAATTCGTTGTCAACAGATAAATTCTAAATCTTTTCATGTTTTTAATCAAGGTGCTCACATGATTTGATGCACTTTGCAATGTAAGATTCGTTTTATCACAATATAGCTTGATTATCGATGAAATCGTCTTGTCAGGGCGCTGCCATTTTGTGATGCAAGAGGTGGAATCTGATTGGACCATAGGAGAGGCATAAAAGGGACATAACTCAAAATAGCCACTGGTGGCGCTTCGATCGAGCCCAGGAGTTCCAGCCAAGTTCGGTAAGTGTGGAAACTGGACTTTTAAAGTCAGTTAACTCTCTTGCCTCGGGAAGATGAGAAAAGTAATGTTAAGGGAGATTATTTCCACCATAAGAGTGAATGAGTGAGTGTGTGTAGCATATTTTCTATGCTGTTGTTAGTCATATCATGGCAAGGGATACCAGGAAAGGAGTTAACACATTGTACACATGTGGGGAAGGAAATCTGGGTCTCTGATATGACAAGCAAATGCCTTAACCACTAGGCTATCCCACTCATAAGAGAGAATGACTAGAAGCTAGACCAAGCCTCATCTCAGATCTTAGTCTCAATTAAAGAACACTAGCACATATCATCGGAAACTATTTCCTCACCATGAAACTTGTAACCCTTTGATACACAGTATCTCTGTACAATACACATATCATAGACCACAGAAAGCGCAATGCATTAGTGAAACATTTAAATCGTAATAGAATCATGGGATTATAAGAGCCTCATTTCACAAGGCAGTGATGTAACAGTACCTTGCTGATTTGTTGTTGTCTTGGCGCCGCAGTCCTGATGTAGAACAACAGATAGGCTTCAGCATTGAACACCCGACTGCTGCTCACTTGATGGACCTGAACACAGTATGATGGGGCTCGAGTTACGTCACAGAACAAGGCAGACAAAACATATGCTCCGCTCTTTCCGTCATGCTTTCAGTGAGTGTTTAATGGTGACAAGAATAATAAACCTCACATATATATACGAGTTACAATACAACACAGTTAGCTTTACGTAATTTGAGCTGTCTTTGAATTAAGCTCTCCAGTCTCCAATACTCCAGCTATATGACGGCGGTCTGTAAATAATTAAGTCTGGACCAGACAATCCAGTGATTGACATAATGAGCATCGACTCATGCAATGATGACATGCATCAACTAAGTCAGCGAGTCTGACCACCCAATCCCGTAAGTCACATCTTACGACAAGCATAGTCGCCTTTTACGTCAAGAATGGGTTACTGAAGACCTATTCTACCCCAGATCTTCATGGATAGTAAACGTGTGTAACTTGACACCCCTGGCATAATGAAGGTGAGCAACTTACCGTGGAGTCATTCATGCAGTACCAGATCTGAGAGGGAGCCTTCACATAGCAGTAATAGTGACCGGAGTTGCAGTGCAAGCCTGAGTGGACCAGTACTGCATACAGGTGGTACATCACGGGCTCCCCCTGAAGATGAACACATGCTGGTAAATACCCACATATGCAAACACTTCTGCTTCATAGCAACCAACAGAATGAATTTAAAGTATCTGACATCTTAATTAACTTTAAAGTTACAATTCCAGTCAGCATGGCAAAGTGTGTGCGAGCAAGAGGGTTGAGTTTCTTTCACACCACAGTCAGCAATATTCCAGCCTGTCAATGACCTGGACAGAGACGCCAGTCAGCAATATTCCAGCTATAACGCTGTAGCCTGTCAATAACCTGGACAGAGACGCCAGTCGGCAATATTCCAGCTATACCGCTTTAGCCTGTCAATAACCTGGACAGAGACGCCAGTCAGCAATATTCCAGCTATACCGCTGTAGCCTGTCAATAACCTGGACAGACATGCCAGTCGGCAATATTCCAGCTATACTGCTGTAGCCTGTCAACAACCTGGACAGACATGCCAGTCAGCAATATTCCAGCTATACTGCTGTAGCCTGTCAATAACCTGGACAGAGACGCCAGTCAGCAATATTCCAGCTATACCGCTGTAGCCTGTCAATGACCTGGACAGAGACGCCAGTCGGCAATATTCCAGCTATACCGCTGCAGTCTGTCAATAACCTGGACAGAGACGCCAGTCAGCTATACTCCAACTATACTGCTGTTGCCTGTTAATAACCTGGATAGAGACGCCAGTCAGCAATATTCCAGCTATACTGCTGTAGCCTGTCAGTATTCCAGCTATACTGCTGTAGCCTGTCGATAACCTGGACAGAGACGCCAGTCGGCAATATTCCAGCTATACCGCTGCAGTCTGTCAATAACCTGGACAGAGACGCCAGTCGGCAATATTCCAGCTATACCGCTGCAGTCTGTCAATAACCTGGACAGAGACGCCAGTCAGCAATACTCCAACTATACTGCTGTAGCCTGTCAATAACCTGGACAGAGACGCCAGTCAGCAATATTCCAGCTATACTGCTGTAGCCTGTCAATAACCTGGACAGAGACGCCAGTCAGCAATATTCCAGCTATACCACTGTAGCCTGTCAATAACCTGGACAGAGACGCCAGTCAGCAATATTCCAGCTATACCGCTGTAGCCTGTCAATAACCTGGACAGAGACGCCAGTCGGCAATATTCCAGCTATACTGCTGTAGCCTGTCAACAACCTGGACAGACACGCCAGTCAGCAATATTCCAGCTATACTGCTGTAGCCTGTCAATAACCTGGACAGAGACGCCAGTCAGCAATATTCCAGCTATACCGCTGTAGCCTGTCAATGACCTGGACAGAGACGCCAGTCGGCAATATTCCAGCTATACCGCTGCAGTCTGTCAATAACCTGGACAGAGACGCCAGTCGGCAATATTCCAGCTATACCGCTGCAGTCTGTCAATAACCTGGACAGAGACGCCAGTCAGCTATACTCCAACTATACTGCTGTTGCCTGTTAATAACCTGGATAGAGACGCCAGTCAGCAATATTCCAGCTATACTGCTGTAGCCTGTCAGTATTCCAGCTATACTGCTGCAGCCTGTCAATAACCTGGACAGAGACGCCAGTCAGCAATATTCCAGCTATACCGCTGTAGCCTGTCAATGACCTGGACAGAGACGCCAGTCGGCAATATTCCAGCTATACCGCTGCAGTCTGTCAATAACCTGGACAGAGACGCCAGTCGGCAATATTCCAGCTATACCGCTGCAGTCTGTCAATAACCTGGACAGAGACGCCAGTCAGCTATACTCCAACTATACTGCTGTTGCCTGTTAATAACCTGGATAGAGACGCCAGTCAGCAATATTCCAGCTATACTGCTGTAGCCTGTCAGTATTCCAGCTATACTGCTGTAGCCTGTCGATAACCTGGACAGAGACGCCAGTCGGCAATATTCCAGCTATACCGCTGCAGTCTGTCAATAACCTGGACAGAGACGCCAGTCGGCAATATTCCAGCTTTACCGCTGCAGTCTGTCAATAACCTGGACAGAGACGCCAGTCAGCAATACTCCAACTATACTGCTGTAGCCTGTCAATAACCTGGACAGAGACGCCAGTCAGCAATATTCCAGCTATACTGCTGTAGCCTGTCAATAACCTGGACAGAGACGCCAGTCAGCAATATTCCAGCTATACCGCTGTAGCCTGTCAATAACCTGGACAGAGACGCCAGTCAGCAATATTCCAGCTATACCGCTGTAGCCTGTCAATAACCTGGACAGACATGCCAGTCGGCAATATTCCAGCTATACTGCTGTAGCCTGTCAACAACCTGGACAGACACGCCAGTCAGCAATATTCCAGCTATACTGCTGTAGCCTGTCAATAACCTGGACAGAGACGCCAGTCAGCAATACCGCTGCAGCCTGTCAATAAGCTGTCAATAACCTGGACCAGATAATCCACAATCAGCAACATTCCAGCTATACCGCTGCAGCCAAATAGGCTCTTCTGACAAGTAGGTGTCATCTGCACAAGCAAAACTTTATTTCAAATTTTCAGCATTATGTGTCTTATTGAAAAAAACATTTCTCAATTTGATGCTGCCTTGAGAAGTGTGTAACTTTCTCTCACCTGCTCACTACTCATGTATGGCCGAATGTTGAGTTTATCGGGAAACTGGATGTGTCGGCTCACCTTTCCCATCAAGCGGTTATAGTCAAACCTGAAGCAAATAGCAAAGGTGGTGGCACATTCTAGGAAAATCAGGGTTGTCAATAAAACATGTGTGGTGTGCTTACCCGTAACATGATACTGAATGACCTCTTCTGATAAATATCAACAGTATTTCACTCGAATAAAGTATCACTCTTTTCGAGGCCCTGAACAATACCTTACCATGCGCTTTATGACGTTATCAAGGTAGACGCTTCAAAGCTCACAGAAGACATCAAAGTGTTCACTTGTCGCTGAAGTTATTTTACAAATTAAGCTACATAAGGTAAGATATTCAAAAAGTAATGAAACATACCTCGAAACTTACTTTTTCACTACTGCACATTTTTATCAAACTTGATGTGATGATAATTTTGCATCAGAACACTCATATGCACCGATGATGTATTGGTTGCTGTTTTTGAACTTCCTGTCTGTCATGTCATGTGACTGATCATGTTGTGCATCTATTTATAACTAGACTGTCATGGAGGGGCTCGAAATCAGGTGATGGTAACAAGATGGCGCCTAATTGACTCGTCTCACTTAGCGAGGCATTATGACGATAAAATTGACAAGATGAGGTCATTTGACTATCCAATTGTAAAAAGAAATAAATGTGCTCAAAGGTAAGACTTACTGTATTCGACGTAATAAGCGCCCCACTCTAATAAGCGCCCACAGCGATATTTGCTAATATATTGGCTAGTGAACAATCCCAATTAGCAACCCTTCCGATTGATCAATGTACACAAGACCTATTTATTCGTGTATAATACACACTCGTGTGTAATATGCACCCTTAATTATGGCCAATTAAATTCTGGAAAAAATATATCTGTCGCATATAAATATTTCAGGCTGTCAGAATAAACCACGAAATGTATCTTCCAAATCTTTTTCTTCTTCACCAAAATGATATTCTAACAAGTGCCCCCTATTTCTAATTTTGAGAGCGCCCTGGGCGCTTATTATGTCGAATGCGGTATTTTTAGTGCATTGCGAAGATTATTAGACACGCAATGAGAAACACTGGTTCATGACAAGATTTGTTCTGAGTCAACCTACCTCTTAAGCTGGACTGTGAGTACATTTGGTGCTTTGTGGATTGAAAATCTCTTGTGAGCAGAAACTTTCTGCTTGCACCTGAAAAGAGTCATGTTTGTTACCATCTTGTATCAACTAGCTGACATCTCACACTCACCCTGTATCACAGGACGATAAATGCTTTCAGAACATCTGTTGACCCATGAAGATCTGGGTTTGAATAGCTCTTCAGCAACTTATGCTTGTTGAAAGAGGCGACTAACAGGTTCAGGTGGTCAGGCTAGCTGACTTGGTTGATGCTTGTCATTGTATCCCAAATACGTAGATCGAATCTCATGCTGTCAATCACTTGATTGTCTGGTCCAGACTCAATTATTTACAGACTGCTGTCATATAGCTTGAAAATTGCTGAGTGCAACGTTAACAAACAAACAAACAAAACATCTGTGTAATCAGTATGTTTATCATGCACGATGAACATATCACTAAATTGCGACCAATTCGAAAGTTGCACATTGAGCAAATCAAATTTCAAAGAGCAAGTTGAGATTTGTTTTATAATTCGGTTAGACAAGCATGTCAAGGCATCTCAGGAAAATTTGTGAGGAAATCCCAAAGTGGAGCATCTCATAGGTGTTTACAAGCACAATCAACATACGTCAATCAAGAGAATCTGGGATTTGAACCACCTTATATTGCATAGTGATCTGTCTGATTTTAAGCAAGGATTGAGTGAGTGAGTTGCGTTTAATGTCGCTTTAAACAGTGTTTCAGCTATATCATGATGTGTCAGCTTCCCATGGAAAGATATCATGAAGTGATCCAAGAAATGACATTCTTCACTTTCTTGGAATCCATGCGCAAGAGTATGGTGCCGACAAACCTAGGAAGATAATCAGTTCCGATCTTGGATTCAAACCCACATAAATCACATATTTAATTCTAATGCTCTGAACAGAACTTCCAGCCACAAAATGTGTACTGATAGTCCAAACTTCAACACGATGGTGCCTACCTTGGACACATGTAGGCGTTGTCATTATCCAGAGTCTCGTGATGCACAAATCGCTCAAATGCCTTCTCAACACTCTGCACATTCTGAAATAGCAACAACATGGCTAAATTCACTGTTACTACATAGTATTTACATAGTCAATGAACATGTAAGAGGATGACACACAGGACATGGTCCTTGGCTCAAACATATCTTCAGGAATGACGAGAAAAAGAGTGTAGGGTATTGGGACCGTTCAGCAATATTCTAGTACCATCATGGCAAGGTGATACTGGAAGTTATAATTTGAGTTACAAAATGATGGCTCAACCACACTGACAGAAGCATTCAAATACAGACCTTAATATCCAAACTGATGTCCAGAAATGGATCAAATGTGTTTGACTTTTCTTTACATCTGAGGCACTGAACTGGAAAAGAAGAAAGGTAATTAAGAATCAGTATCACTGTAAATGCATTGTTTGTTGTTTTACGCCGCAGTCAACAATATTGAAGATATATGTCAACAGCCTGTAAATAATCAAGTCTGTACCAGACAAACCAGTGATTGTGATCAAGAGTAATGTACCACACCTTCAGGATACGATGACAGACGATGAACTTAGTCACTGAGTCTGACAACCCATTCCAATCTAGTCACCTCTTACGAAAATCAATAGAGTGCTCGGTTCAAATGTCATTCTTATCAATATGGCAGCAATATCTATTTGAGGAAGACCATATTGTGCCCATGTGGGAAATAAACACAGGCCTTCTTACGAAATGTAGCCCTACTCATTTGGATATCATTAATGTTAGGTTAAAAACTAAACCTACTGTTATTCCTTGCATTTTGTCATGGTCACCTACCCTGACTTCGGAGGTAGCCTCCAAATATCTGGTTGATCACAGTGGTTTCCTTGCTAAATTTGTCAAGTCTGAAAACAAAAAGAAGATGTTTACAATTCCTTTGATCAGATTGAGGTGAGGTGAAAAGGGGCTTAACATCGCATTCAAGATTATAAAACTTAAATACAACTTGCATCCATGTGTGCGTTTGTGTGGGGCTTCTTGTACTAGTTCGGACTAATGCCAATTTTATAGTGCGAGCACACTAACATACCCTGCCACAGTTTAACTTGAATTTATCACTCAGACACCATATACTGACTCTGAGCCGACTCTATACTGACTGAGCCGTCCTTGTTTTAGCCCCTAAATGTCTAAAGGTAGGATAACAACAAGTACCATCTTTTGATGTCTTATGACGCAGTCAGGGATCAAACCCCCGATATACCACATTCAGGATTGACGCTTGCCAACTAGACCACAGGGGTGGTCTTGATCAGATTTAAGTTAACTGATGCGAAAGAGATTGCTGTTAAGATAAGCACAGGTACTGATGACCTATTCTACCCTAGAACCTGCACAGGCGTTTTCATTACAAGGTTGTCAAATTTGTGATCTATGTGAGGTGGCGCCATAGTCGAGCCGAGAAAAGTGGCCTTAAAGTGGCAAGGGTAGAAACTAGACTTTGATATACGGTAGTGGACACGCTTCCCTCAAGAATAAATAACTCACTTGGAATGGCCATTGAGACAAGCCTTCTGCAAACCATCCACAACATAGCGAAGGAATTCATGTGCATCTTCCTGTCTCCCCCAGTGCATATGTTTTGCAATCACTGAAAAAACATCATCAATATCTAAAATATCATATCAATATACTTATCATCCATTATGTGTATACAGGGATTGACTTAGGCCGCGATATTCTCGCATAGTTGCCATAGATATTGCATCATTATTCAGTCAGCGTGATCTTTCAATAGTTTTATCTGCATTAACACTTTCATTTTCTCCTACAAAAATCGAAAATGTCGTATTGCTTGAATATATTAATCTATGGTACCTAAAAATGTCAATAAAAAACTTACACGCTAGTTTATTCAATCGTCATATACAATTGAACAGAGATTTGCATACTCACAATATTGCATGCTATCTCTTACTGTGCATAACCGATTCCTATATTACTGCATGGAGCTTTGCATCAGCTGACAATGTGGAGTATGCAACATTTTCTATCCCTCATTGGCAAAACATGCCACCTTCTGTAGGAAATTAATGACTTAATTGTTGCTAATTAAACAAGAGGGTGAACCTGGAGCAATAGTCATTGTATACTCGGACCCCATGGTACCGTGGCATTCATCGTATCGCTGCATTGTGATTTCCGATAGTTCACGCGGGACACGCCTCTTAGTGGCTGTCTATTAATGCAAATCAGTAACCAGGAAGTGCTCACTTCGTAAACAATTTCAATTTCCTCAGAATGTTCCGTCTGCTGTAAGTAAGGAGTTATTAATCCGTTGATACATATTTCTGGCATCTGTTGTAATATTGCCTTACCCCCATCTATCAATGGCCAACGATATAACCCGCAGTTCCCCAAGTAAACTTTCTCTATCGACCTGAACTAGATCATCTGCATATTCATGGCGACTTATGAGGTAACGGAAGTTACGTAGTCCGCACATTTTTTCCCGCTCTGTGCCCAGAATCTATTGGGAGATCATAAGGGCCATAATGCCAAACTTAGAAATATGTTCTTCACTAGTAACCAAAAGATAAATACATACTTTGGGCATACTAGGAGTGCTTTTTATATATTTATTGTTGACTTTTAACATTTTTCCATTTTGTGACAAATTATTGTCATCCAATTTTTTTTAAACAATCTTAAAATATCATTTCTATTAATTTTGATGTTGACTTATAAACATATTTTTCTCTTACTTTTCGGTAAATATGCATTGAATACCTATTGCTGATAACACATTTAGAATTTTACTTGTGCTGTCTTTGCACTTGTCTGGACAAATCACTGATGTCGGGCATGATCATACCAAGTGGTTGGTAGAATTATGTCCTCTTTTTGTCCAATTCGGACCTCCATACACAACTTTTCTCCGTACCGCGATACGATGGAGTTCTCTCCCTTGTCAAACAGAGCGCGAGGCCCGGCTTTTACTCGGCGCTACTGATGTAAATAATGAACTTTTATCAGTAAAATATGCATTGTTTGATAACATGAATGATATCTGATACAGAGAACACGAATAAACACAAAGGTTAGTGAGTGCATTTTGTTCCGTTTAGCGTACATGACAAGCACTGCGATACCCCGAGGTTGCAGGCTATAATGAACTGTCACTTCTAATTAATTGAAAAGTCCATATTGATAAGATTTCATATGATATGGTCAGAGACCCGGACTCTTATATTGGTACACACTTCAGACGGAAATAAGACGGCGTAATTGACAAAAACACTGGAATGTAAATAATATATTTTTTGCCAACAGTAATATCATTTACAACAGTCACTATTTCATGTCATCTCTCTAAATATATTGAATTACGATCTAAACACACACTGTCGAAATTTGATAACTGCAGATTGTTGTCTCCTGCATGCCAATGAAATGAACAGCTGATGGTGGTAAACATGCCTCCTAAACAATCTATAATTGTCCTCGTGAATAATTCCCCATCAAGTCAACAATGAACAGAAATACATAAATATTAGTGTAATTTCTCCTAAAGTAGACAATGAACAGAAATATAAGTTGAATGTAATTTTCTGTTAATACTATAAATGCTAATAGTTTTAAATACATGTATTTGCAGTGGAATAATTAATGTTGGAAAATAGGATATCGGATGACATATGTATATAATCTAGTAATATCTCTTGCAACATTATTTGAGTCACAAGCACCAAAATTCAAATACAGTTTACACACTGTGTGAAGATGAAATATCTCTGAAAATATGGAAAATCTCATCACATGCCAAAAAATCTCATTGTTTTTGGCCCAGGGGAGATTTTCTCTCATAGGTACAATTTTCCAGGATAATCCCTGTATATAATGCAATCTCTTGCAGTTGGCAATGATGGAACCTGGCCCCTAGCAGTAACTGTGGGGGTGAGTTCTTCCTCAAAATGGTAACACTATCTTACATTTCAGCTTCTGCAGAATAGACTGAGGTTTGATAGCATGACCAGCATTCTCAAAACATCTCCGTATATGCCGCTGTAGTTCACACACCATACAGAAACCAGCTTGTTTACCTGAAATGCAACATCAAAGGACAATGAATAAAAGGATTGAACAGTAGTTCAGTTATATCAAAGCATTTCAACTCTATGTGGGAACCTAGTTAACACAGACAAGGACAAGGATCATCATCAGCACACATCTGTGAGCCCATGCTCAGTGGATTCAGACACTAAGTGCCAAAACTCTGCTTAGAAACATGGGGGAAGTTCTGAACCCAAGCCCACTGGTTATTTGCTATAGGTGAGTGATTTTGCATTTAATACCACTTTAACAGGATTTCATTTATATCTTGGCACTTCAACTTATCGGGATGAAAGCCCAATGTGATGCAAGTCCTCAAAATTTACAATTTTGGTGAAACCCATGAGTATGGGTATGGCACTGACAAAGCTAGAAACATAATCAGGGCAAATCCGGGATTCAAACTCAAGATCATAGGTTTCTGGCACATCCAAGGGACACAACTCACAATAAATTCCAGCATCTCAGATGACTGGGCTACCCAAGTCCTGGTTGGCCACAACTCTAAAGTATGTGGCATGAACAATCAGTATACTAACACTGTGACAATTCTTAATAATGTACATGCACATACTAGACATGTGAAGTTCCCCTCCAGACACAACTGATCATTTCTGCCCACTTACAGGAGGTGATGTGGTCATCAGTGAGGCAGTAGTTGACCAGAGGTGCAGTGTATGTCAGACACTGCAAGGTGGAGTTGAGGAAGCATGTGTTGCCCATGTTGACGAGCCCCGACCCAATTTTCTGAACACGCCGCCATTCCAACTTGACCCGCTCCTCAGGGTATAGCACCACTTTGGGGACAGGCAAACCATCCTCGCCTTCCCTTTGACTTGCAACATTCATCTTTCCTGCAAGTCCATTTAAAAAAATACAATGTGACACATACAAAAAAAGTCAACAGATAATTTTCAAATCAAACATGATGAAGGCTGCCAGCATATAGCACAGATCACTATTTGCATTATTTCCAAAACCTAAATAAGGACCCAAAGTCGATTTAATCCATTTGCATTTCTATTTGAGATCTGGCCTCTTGATTGGAGAATTGACAGTATATGCACACGAAGAGATCAATCGTATTCTTTTCATCATTTGAATATCAGGCACATCATTCAAACCAATCTTAAACATAATCCCTGCTTCAGATGAGTGAGTGTGAGGGAGTTGGGTTTTACGGCGCTTTTAACAGTATTACAGTTATATCAAGGCGTGTCAGCTTAATGTAGGAGGAAAGCCCGAAGTGATGCAGGTCTCAGATGTTTACCACTTCGGTGAAACCCACGAGCATGGGTATTCAGGATTCATACCGACAATCATAGTTTTCTGGCGTGCCCAAGGGACGCAACTCTGCACAGCGAATGGTGGCGCCTTAGATGTCTGGGCCACCCAGATGAGATTACACGACTGCCATCAATTTTATGAATTAGGATATAAACATACTGTGTTTTCACTGCAGTGCTAGGTTACCTGTATATTAATTTTAACCGCGCTAAACTGAATTTGGAACAGAACGTGTAGTGTGAGGTTTCAAATGTTAAAATTAACGCTAAAGAGGATGGCAGGGATAGATATAATGAGCATCGATCCATCCAATTGGGATATCATGCCATGCATCAACCAAATCCTCAAACCTGACAACCTGATCCTATTAGTCGCATCTTACAACAAGCATGGGTTGCCTAAGACCTACTCTAACCAGGATCTTCATGGGTCCAAATAAGTTTGGACTTCGGGTTTAGTATGTTTAGTGTTAACAAATTGTAATTTTTTCACTGGTTTATTTAAACATCAGATTAGCATAAATCTTTGTCATATACATTTTGAATGATTCCACAGACACTTATGCATCAACATGACGAAGGTTACTATCATCTGTTTCTGTGTCTTTACTATAGTGTACAATGTTTAACATGGGTTTCTTGTGGTTTGCTGATAGAGTATATGAATCTTAAGCCTTAATAGTTAGGGTTCTGATAAGGACCCCTGACTTTCATGCTTAATTTCAGACACTGTTGTACATTCCCTAAAAACTCAAATACATTTCATCCTCATGCATTGGTTACTATGCAACACAAATCAATATTCACTCACTCTGCTGTGATAGGAAATGAAAGCACAACACTAGCAGGAAATAAATACCAAACAAACACATGCAGAAAATACAAGTATGTTCTTGATAACATCAACATATAGTATAATATAATGATTATGAAAATGAAACCTTTTCCTGCGTATTTTTTTCAAATGCAATACAATTCAATACTTAAATCGAACATGTTGACAATAGAAATTAACAAAAAAGTTTTTCATAAGTTTACTTGACTCTTCAAACAAGTGGTTAGGTCTCAGACTACACATTAAATTGTGTGAATAATGTTTTATTGCATAGTATGCAATATGCAAATTTGAGTGAGTGGGTGAGTATGGTTTTATGCTGCTTTTAGCAATATTCCAGCAATATCACGACAGAAAGACACCAGAAATGGGCTACACACATTGTACCCATGTCGAGAATTGAACCCGGGTCTTCGATGTGATGAGAAAACGCTTTAACCACTAGGCTACCCGACCACCCCTGCAAATTGGAAGCTGTGGCCTGGCAAACAAGTTGCTGATAATCTGAGCAACAATTCATCACATCGGGGTCAATGATTACAATGTAACCTGCTCATCATCTTTGTTACCTATTACAACTACCTTGGTTAAAATTAAGAGGGACATTGGAATATGCTCCTAATGTACTGTATTTTCCATATTAAGCACCCTGCTCCATTATTTAAGTGCCGCTAACCAACTTCTTGACCAATCTGTAAGTAATCTATATAAGCACCCCCACTAAGACTGAAGAGATACATCACAGCCTGGACTCTTCTGTATATTACAGATTTGTTTACAAACAAATACAATAGTGTAGAAAATGCATTTTGTCATGATAATGGCCTAGTAATTGAAATCCTTTTAGTTTTTTCACTACCACTTGTTCTCAAACCAATTTAACTGGCTGTGTATTGTTTTATGTTTTAATATGTCCTTATCTTCAAAGCACTTATTACAGTGAATATATTAACGATATCTTGGGACTCCCTAAATGTTACAACATTTTAACATAAGAGGTGATGACAATGATCCCCTTGTCTTTCATGCTAAATTTCAAACACTGGACTAGCATCGGATACAGAAGGTCTAACTTGTCCTGAAACCTGCTGTGGGTACTACTTACTGTCCAAGTCTTGTTAAAGAAATGAATGTCAACTTACCATTCCCTTTTTCTGCCCCAGTACCACTACCTGGTGTGTAGGTCTGGGATGGGTTGAGGGGGATGTACTTGGATCTGAGGGAGTCAATCTGCAGTGAGTAGGGTCGGTCTGCTGGGTGGAAGTCCACCTTGTGTAGCAGCACTCTCTTGGCAGAAGAGACCAGCTGCTTGTCAATGCCGTTCCCTGTTATCAAGGAGGCCTTCAGAGTCTCGTCTATTGCCGAGTCAATGTTCTCGAGAGCACTAGCTGGCATAGCATTGGTTCATCTACAACGACCAGTAAGATAACCAATCACCATTTAACTCCACAGTAGGCCTAAAAAATAAATGTCAGGGTTATTAGACCTAAAATAATATGTTGTGGTTTCAGTAACATGAATGTCTTCAAAGAGGTTCACTTTCTTCAGCCAGGATGATCTTTTAACATAACTTACATTTCTAACGGATTATCATCATGAGCATAATTACAATTTTCAATGCCTAAATATATCAACATTTTCCTACACCAAAGCATGCAAGGTATTAAAGATGAGCAATTCATGTCAGCATGTGCAAACATTGTACAAAGAGGGCTGGTTACACAGCATTAGCAATGACAGCCGCAAGAAAATAATAGTGGAAAACTGAACACTGAACCTATGATCATCAATTCCTGGTGTGCCTAAGGGAAACAACGAATTGCGGCTCCTTAAACATGTTTGACAACTGGGTCAAACTCATTCCCAGAAAAACATGCACATTATTGAACTTTTTTTATATTGTTATGTTGATAAAGATAAGGAAGCGCATATACCTTTGAGTTTGCATATTGTTATGGGATTGTTCTTTGGGAAAATATATGTACCAGGTAATCATGATTATGGTGAAGGAAACATTAAAATAATTGTAATCTTGATCATGAAAAACTTCAAATTTAATAAGAAAAGCATGTGATTTATTTATATCATTTCTTGAAGTTAACCAAACATTATTTCATACTACACTTGTGCACATAATACTAAAAAAGCATGTTATAACTTTTCCAGTGAGGTCTGTCCATGCTACTGCTAGCAAATGTCTTTTTCAGAATTTGAATTAACTCACTTATCAAAAGCACAGGTCAAGGCGAGAACTATTTTTACAAAACTTACAATGTATGGGTGCTGTTAATCGTGAGTACAGCAAATGTTCTTGATGACTTTGATCCTGATGCAAATATACTTTTGCACACATTTCGAATTCGTTAAAAAAGTTGTCTTTAGCATTATAATTTTTGCTCTGGACTTAGTAATGCATTATTGATACACACCAAAACATCAATAAAACTAATTTAGAGACAACAATTTGAAACAGAAATCAATACACACATTGAATCAGTGGATGCACTTGTCATTTTTGGTTTCAAATTTACGCTAGACATGCTTGATTAAAATTTGCATAATCACTTCAAACACGATACTGAATATTAATATTGCAATATCACGTTATGTCTACACAATTTTTGCTTACAGCGATTAAATAGCTTAATCAAAGAGTGTGGTGTTGTTTCTCAAGTTTAGGCTAATGTGATGATAGAACTCAGTCTAACATGTGATTATTCAAACGTCAAAATGTAACCTCGGCAATGTCCAATTGGTACTAAATCCAAACACATTAATCCATTAATATCTGCACATTCCTGAATTAGATGATATTTATTCACTAATACACCTCAAAATCGCAAAACATCTTCAATTTCGATTTCTTATCGGGCGACATGTATGAAAAGCATGCGGTGGAAGGCATGGAATTCACATTGTTTGTGCGCCGGCCGCAAGAAGTAAACAAGTAAATCGGGATAGAAATTGTCATTCACTGTGGAAATATAGGTGTATCTGATTCATTTAAAAACTGAAATATCAATGTCTAGGAGCTATAACATCGTCTTTTACCTGAAAATACTTCCGAGTGTCGAAAAATAATCTTCATTCGAATGTTGCATACGGGTTTTGCCACGATATGACGTCTTCCGGTTCCGGACATGCGCATTCATCAAGTTCCGTAAAAGTACTTGTTTCAGAAACGACGCCGGCCTTGTTCTATGCTTGAGTTTTCGACGATATCATACTTGTTATTATGATGACACTGATTTCAAACAATGCGAGAACAATCTGTCTTAGAACATTGAGACATGTATCAATAAATCGTTTTAAAAAGTCATGTTTTTCCACGCAAAAGGCAGCTGTGCCTGTGGTCAAATGTTCTTCACAAAATGTTGTCATGTGGATTCGTAAAATATCGCCTCAAAGTGTTGGGTGTCTGTGGTGGCAACGTAAATGGCATTTATCAATCGAGCAATCAATGACTCGACCTTTCTCAGCAGGCAGAGTTTTGTTTCAAGACTTAACTCAAATTGAAGTGAAAAGGGAAATAGAAAAATTAACAGATAAATTCATGGAAGCAAGAGAATTGCTTTCAGATGCAGTGAGTATTTTAATCATTCTGTTTCTTCACTGCTAAAATGTTACTTCACATTTATTTATGGAAAACGTCACAATTGTTTGAGGTAAAAGTTTTATTTAAAAGTTCTACAAGTGTATAAAATGGCTAAAGCTAACTGTGTTTAAATATATCTATGTGTGTTGAAGTCAGTGACTCTCCATTTTTGTGTCCACTTGGGAGTTATGGCTTGGACGAGTCCAGATTTACTACCCATGTACCCGACCCTACCCATATACCTGCTGTAGCTCTCAGGCTTGGTACAAGAACCTTGGTCCACTTGAGTTGTGTTTTATGGACCTCTGGCAAAAAGTATATTTTTGATACACATATAAAACAATCTGGTCATGCTTACACTGAAGTTGACTGAAGCTTTGTCTTAATTCAAAAATATAAAAGTCAGAAGGATTGTGTGTTAAGTCAGAAAGATACGCGAAAAATAGCGACTTGTAGGTAAACATAGAGTTATAGTAGTGAATTTTTCTCATTAAATAATATATCACGTGACTAACCGTGGGTCAGGGTAGTTCTGTTGGTACTCAGGCTCTACTTGGTACCCACCCAAGTGTCCAAGTTACCCATCCCAGCCCTAATGGGGATCGAGATAGAAAGGAATCTTTGTTGGTAAGAGATAACCGAGATGGATCAGGTCATGCTTGGTGACTTGACTATTTGCTTGCATTGCACCACAACAACATGACATTGATCACAATATCAACCACTCATGAGTCTGACCTAGACTTTTATTTCCAGGCCATTGTGACAGAGCTGGAATATTGCTGACTGCAGCATAAAATTTTGAGTAGTTCATGGTTAGTCTTGTGTAGTTTATATCAATGATAGTAGTATATAACAGTTGTCACTTAACACATATGAATGCAAAATCTAGACTGAGTAGTTTTTTTTCAAACAAAAAGTATGACCAAAGAGGTAATTTATAAAGCTACAGTGTGTTATCCATTAATAATCTAGTAATCACTAAGACAACTCATCCTCCCAGATGTGTAATTTATTTTGAAATAGCTTTTGACCAAATCAGAGACCATATAATAGATGTATTAAAATTTATCTCAAAATGTTATTTTTCTATTTGATGGAGAGTATTTTTGCCTTAAGCATATACAGAAAAAACTCTGAAACAAGGAATTTTATGTAGGTTTCCTGTACATTGTTAATGTAGGATTTACATATTCACTAGGACCCATGACTTACTATTCTGTAGGCGCCTGGGAACTTTTCAGGGGTGGAATATGCTTTCAGAAGCCCTTCGGTCCGAGACCTCTTTCCAAAAATTATATATATGTCTGAAATTTCATTTCTTAGATCATAATTTTGTCAAAGTCCTATAGTTTGTATACGGTGAGAAAGGAATGTATTAGACTTTTCCGCCTGTAAATAAAATTTACTTTTGGACTATTTTGTCATATTTGTGTACCCATTTGATAATAATAATAAGTTTGTTGTGTCAAGTAACAACGCATTCTGAATTGAGACTTTGCCAAATTATTAGAATGTTATTTTGACAGTAAGACCTAAATCAGACCTTTTCGTAACATCACTGAATGAAATAGGTGAATCAGTTGTTTTGTCCCATGAAGAACTGCTATGGTGTGGGGCTTTGCGACCAGAGGACCAGAGGATTTCAGCTCCTGACTTTAACGAAATGTTTTTGTGTGTGAAAGAAGAAACTGAACAATTTGCTTTATTTTCAGGACATCCATCATGGTCAGCAAAAAAAAATTTCTGTAGGGAGTGGGGGTAGAACCACTGATAACCTGAGAACAAATTATTTCTTCCATTTTTTTTCTATGATACAAAATAATATATTTATTTAAAAAGAAACCCAGGCACACCTGAATATGAAATGGTCCGTTCCTAAGATCATAAGTAGGAATGGGTTTTTGCATGTTATATGGTGTGAATATGTACAGGGCTCACTTGCACAAAGTGATCTTAGTGCTAAGACTATCGCAAGCCTATGTTAAAGTATGGGAGTTACGATCATCTTAGCGCTAAGATCGCATTGTGCTAGTGGGCCCAGGACCTTATGAAGGCATGCTTTTTGCAGCGAGAGAGTGAGGGCAGTGTGTACTTCTCAGAAGACATGGAAGAAGCTCAGGAAGCTGTCACTGAGACAATAAGAGGATATACAGAATTGTTAACGAAGTTATCTGAGCAACAGCGACAAGACGTTGTGAGAACCATTGGACTGAAGATGGAGGAATTGAAAGCCCAGCTACAAGCCATGGAAGAAGACCTGAAACAAGACCATTGATGATTATCATGACCATCATCAATACTTTACTGAAATGTACATACATTACGTTATTCCTTCCCTCCTGAATACATGTGTCCAAAATGTGGTGTAGTAGTGACGCTTGTCTACATCAGTGAAGCAATGAATTGAGGCTGTGTAACTGAAATGATGAATTATTCAAATCATCTTCCCGAGGCAAGGGAGTTAACTGACTGTATAAGTCCAGTTTTCACCCTTGTCGAACTAGGCTGGAATTTCTGGGCTCAAACGTATCGCCACCAGTGGATTTTACGAGTTATGTTCCTTCTATGCCCCTCCTACTGATTCCAGGGGCGCAGGTGGCCCAGTCATCTAAGGCGCCGTGATTCGCTGTGCCGAGTTTCGTCCCTTGGGCATGCCAGAAACCTATGATTGTGGGTTTGAATCCCAGTTCGCCCCAATTGTGTTTCTATTTATTATTTACACACCTCTGTCATATGGCCGAAATATTGCTGGATATCTCACCTTACATTAAAATACTAGCTTCTGATTGGTTAAGGAGCAGGCAATATATTTCCATGTAGCCTGCTGAGGAATCAATCGGAAAAAATCCTAGGTATCTTGCATATATAGAGTAAGTATTGTTGAGTTGAAATGAACTGATGTTTATCCCAGTGCTTTGGGTAAAGGGGGGCACGGGTGGCCCAGTCATCTGAGGCGCTGCAATTCGCTGTGCAGAGTTGCCTCCCTTGGACACGCCAGAAACCTATGATTGTGGGTTTGAACCCCGGTTCGCCCCGCTTGTGTTTCTAGATTTGTCAGCACCATACCCGTGCTCATGGGTTTCACTGAAGTGGTAAACGTCTGAGACCTGCATCACTTCGGACTTTCCTCCCACATTAAGCTGACGTGCAGTGATATAACTGGAGTACTGTTAAAAGCAGTGTTAATCCCAACTCACTCACTCATACTAATTTCATCTCTCATATCACTTGCATTTGCTTCAAACAAAATGGTGGCGCCCACGATCTGATCGATTGTCAAGATATAGATTGTAATGAATTTGCCTGCCATTGAATCCGTGTGCAGAGTACATGGCTGCAAGGGTACAGCACAAGAAAGATTGGTGGGTTTGGGGAGATGTAAGGTGAGGGTTCATTGATCTTGATGTTGAGGGTTCATCATGTCTTGATGGAACCAGATGATGGCTTGATTTATGGGTTAAAAATAGCAACTGTGCTGCACGGTGGCCACGTGTTCTCACGGACGGGTGATGGAGAAACGTAGTGTTTAAAAAACAGTTAAGTATTGATGATAAATCCTGAAATGTTATTTTAGGACAGTACTGCATCTAAACTGATCCAAGTTCTTGGATTTCTTTGACAAATACAAACATTTTTTGATGGATATATCTTTCAGCCACAGAACAAAGTGCCATAATGGTGTTTCTAATGGCCTGACCATCCCATCATTTCAAATTGTTATGAAATATGTAACTAGCTGTTAAGAAAACTTGTCAAAGCTTTGAACCTCCTAATGCATGTCTTGTTAAGTGCATTTTATTTGAAATACAATTAAGTTTAGGGGAAAACGACTGATTCATTTCCATTGCAGGGTGTGTGACGCAAGACGGTGTGTAAGAATGACCCTTGTGGGTGTTCCAAGTTAGAACAGGCCCCCAGCAACCCATGCTGTCACATGACACAACTTGGTGAATCGAGATAATCAGGCTTGGTAACTGGGTTCATATCTGGTTTATCTGGTCCAGACTTTATTATTTGCACACCTCTGTCATATGGCTGGAATATTGCTGGATATCTCACCTAACATTAAAATACTAGCTTCTGATTGGTTAAGGAGCAGGCAATTGTTTTCCATGTAGCCCACTGAGGAATCAATTGGAACACATCCTAGGTAACTTGCATATATCGAGTAAGTATTGTTGAGTTGAAATGAACTGATGTTTATCCCAGTGCTTTGGGTAAAGGGGAGCATGGGTGGCCCAGTCGTATAAGGCGCTGCAATTCGCTGTGCAGAGTTGCGCCCCTTGGACACGCTGGAAACCTATGATTGTGAGTTTGCAAGATACCCGTGCTCGTGGGTTTCGCCAAAGTGGTAAACGTCTAAGACCTGCATCACTTCGGGCTTTCCTCCCACATTAAGCTGACAGGTCGTGATATAACTGGAATACTGTTAAAAGCGGCGTTAAACCCAACTCACTCACTCATTCACTTTGGGTACAGGGAAGTAACTTGTTACGTTTGCGTCGTCTGC